ATTTATATGCACTATTTTGAGATGAAATTATTTGATAAATTATCTTTTCGTCTTGGATTCGGTATGTTGACGACACTTTCGCACTTTTTGACGGTTATAAAGAGGATTTATCCGAGATTCTATCTATTATGAATTCAATTGATCCAGCCATCCAATTCACTCTTGAAATTGAATCCAACAATTCCCTCCCCTTCCTCGATATTCTTATAATCTGCAATGAAACCGATTTTAGCACCACTGTGTACCGTAAACCCTTTGCAGTTTGTTTACCACCCCATGCCAAATCATGCCACCCTGTTAAGCAAAAAATGGCTTCTTTTTACTATTATGTTTTCCGCGCGCTAAAAGTTTGTTCCTCTGAATCTTTGCTTACCAATGAACTTAATTATTTGAGAGCAGTTGCGATTGACCGTGGATTTTCTCCCGTGATTATTGATAAAGCCGTCAAAAAATTTTCAGATTCCCATCAAAGAAGACATTCTACTGTTAGAAATAATATCAATGACCTTGTCGTGCTTCCATTTTATCCTTCTGTTAGCTATAAAATTGCACGGATTCTCCAGAAATTCAATTTTCAAGTCGGTTTCTCCCCTATTAATAAAATTCACCCTTCGATTCTAAAAGATTGCGTTTCTGTCTTGAATTCTTGGGGAATTTATAGTATATCATGTCAGTGTGGTTTAAGATATATTGGCCAAACAAAAAGAGCGTTGAAGTTTCGTATCAAGGAACATGATCTTATGTCAAAAAGGGGAAATTAACAAGTCTTCAATAGCGTATCATAGCTGGACTTTTAACCATAATTTTGATTTTGGGTCTGCAAAAATCATCCAAAAGGCTTCTTCCATAGGCGAATTGGATTTTCTTGAGGCTTTTCACATTCACAAGATTTAGAAAGTTTAGTTAATGATTTGAAGTCCAATCCAGTCCTTCCTAATGCCTTTAAAATTCTACTGTCTTAATTCAATTTTTGCCGATAATTTTGCCAATAGATGGCGTTACCTCCTCGCACTTGGTACTACCAGAGGGTATAAAATCCGTTCAGTGATTGCTTTCCATTATTTGAAGTTCAGATTTTGAGCGTAATGTACATTTGCCCCTCGCTCCCTATTTTAACTTCGCTAATATTTCTTTATGCTTGATCAGACAGCCTGGCTCAGTAAAAGTAGGCGGCCAGTGCAACTCTGATTAAAAATCTAGTTATAACCACGTGCAGTGCTGATAAGCACCACGTGTTTCTGTGATTCCTATTTTCTTCTTTCTATGTATTTCTTTCTCCTGATGAGGAGGGACCTTTAGCTGCCCTCGAAATCGATTGAGTGTTTCATTATACCTACGCTAAATATAAGGTTGTTTTTTTACGATTTTGATTGTCACATTAGCGTGTTTCTCTTCTAGTCTACTTTTACTATGTTTAAAACAAATTTAAACTAAAAAAAAATTAATTTCTAAGTGAACTTTACATTGATTTGTAGCCTCGTGCCATGTTCGTTTCAGATATGAAGTTGTTAATATATTTTACTAAACAAGTAATAATTTTCAAACACAAACAATAATTCATATGTATTTTCTTTTAAAACAACAAATTATGTCATGAAACATTGTCTTCCAAAACATCTCGGCAAAACTTGCAAGGGACAAAATTATTATGTGATTTACTGATTAAAATTTTTAAACGAATTATTTTATTACATTGTAGAGACATTAGGATTTTTCAGAAGCAAGAGTGATGAAAAATTAGCAACCGCCTTCGGCGGGAATCTAACCACGGACCTCTGGAATACCGGCTCAGCGTGCAGAACCGCTACATCACGAAGGCACGCTAGGAAAGTGGGAGAAATACCTTATAACATGAAGTAATTTGATGCGACAAGCAGGGCTTAAAATAGAGAAAATGTAATATATTAGAAAACATTTTGAAGCCTATTTTTCAATATTTAGTATAAGATTTATTTAAATAAATTTTGGAAGTGTGTCTGAAAACAAATATGAAACACTGTAAATAGTTCAGTAAACTAAATCATGCATTATAAAATGAAATTAAGTAAGTTTGAAGTTCTTTTAAAATGGCAGTATCACACAGCACAAATGTCTGCCAGAAACTTCTGGTTTTGTATTAAATTAATTTGAAAACTTAAAATGGGGGTGAGAAGTTATGCATGCTTTCTTAATATGATGCCATATTTTTTTCAGAGTGCTTTTAAATGAGCAAAAATAGTAATTTTAATATGTAAAAATTTTTTTGTTTTATTATGTAAAAATTTGATTCAAATGTATGTGAAAAAAATTTAAATAGTAAAATAGATAGAAAAATAACAAGAAGTCAAAGTTAATTGAATGTCAAGATTTGAAGTGTGGTGGTTTGAAGCAAACAGATCAACGTTTACGTTATACAGTAGGACTGAAGTTAGGTATTACAGAAAATTCTGTTTCTTTGGAAAGGGAAAAAAAATAATATGTTTTTTCCAAAATATCTTGTTCTTAGAGGTGAACTCAGATAGTTCATGGTTGACATCTTTAGTTTTGAATTTTTTCCCCTTCAAAAAATTTTGCAAGAGAAAAGCAAGTGATAATCAGAGGATGCTACATCTGAGGAGTATGGTGGATGCAACAGAATTTTCCAACCTAACTGTGTGATTTTCTTAAGAGTCACCAAAGCAACATGTGGTCTGGCATTAACATGATGCATTTAACTGCTTTGTTTCAATTGTCCATTTGCTGACAGTACCTCTTTGAAATGAGCTTTTCTTTAGGTTTCAAAAGCTCATAATATATTGGTCTTTGGACATCCCACCATATACACAGCATTCTCTTATTCAGGCTCAAACATAGTTTAGAGACGGAGGTCACAGTCTGCTCTTTTTCCAATGATGTTTTCGTAGGTTATCCACTTTCATCTAGTTATCATCTAGACCAAAAGGGGTTAGTTTTTATTCTGAGCAAACAGGAGATGTGCCTATGACAACTTGATCATGCTAATTTTTTCACTTAACTCATGAGGCACCCTTCTGGAATATTTATAGACCAATCCTAATTTTCAAATATGGTTGAAAGTAGTATGTTGAGCTGAACTAAGCTTTACCTGAATTTCTGATGTTGTCAAAAAAAAGGATATTGCTCTATTATGTCTTGACAGTATTGTCATTGATCAAAGATGGTCACCCAGAGTGTGGTTTATCATTAAGTTTGAAAATCATCTGCTTCAAAACTTTTGAATCATCGCCTGCACATTCTGTCTGAAACTGCATCTCCACTAAAAACGGTCACTAAATTTCTAGTCTTCTGTAGCATTTTTTCTTTGTTGGAATTAGTGTAAAGTACAGTGACATAAATGAATTTTATTGGAAACCAAGTTTACATGATCACACCTGGCTTAATAGTGATAGGATATAACACAGTTAATTTTAAAAAGCAGATGTTTATAAATGCAGTCATAAAGAGAGACAGCCATATTATGTCTCAAATGAACACTGCATGCTTGTTGAAACTTGAAATAACATTATTGGATGGAACTTGCCGATAGACCTTTTGTATGGCCAAGATGTTGAGGAACAGAAGGGAATTGGATGCCTGAAGTTCAAAAGTGAACTGAATTGCTGTACTAGAGGAATTTATTATTGACAAAACCTTTTTAAAATCTTCCTTATTGCTATGAAATAGAGTAAAAGTATCATCAGCATAGCAGGGTCAAACTGGGAAGTTTAAAGTAATGTAAGTTATTGTGTTTAATGACTGTTCCACAGTTCCCTAATATTTACCTTTTATGTGTAATGTGTGATTTGTTGAAATCAGATGTGGCACATGCAGAGGCTAATCTTAGAGGTAGGTTTCTCCAACCATGATCTAATAACTGCTAATTTATGTGCTGAGACAATGTTGTGTTCAAGAAATCTATGCTCAACTGAGCAAATAGATGCAAATGATATGTTATGCTCATGCAGTTGTTTGCTCATAATCATATTTGCAGATCGTTTCTCAAATCTCAGTTCATGGACATCGGAACACTTTTCATGTTATGCAATCTTAAATTATCTCTAAATGATTCATTGTTATTATAGAAAGTTCTTTGCTCTCTGAGGTATGATATTTCTGCCCCGAACTAGTTATAACTTCAACTTTTCAAGCCAATTTAGATTGCTCTCGGTAATCTTCTATTTAATGTTTAAAGGTCAACAACCTTGTAATACAAAACTTCTTTACCATAAGGTCAACACTGAAACTTGTATAAGTCTTTGGTCACAGTTAAAATCAGCAAATGGACAGAATATTGTTCCTGTTCACATGTAACACTATTGTGTTACTGAAATCTAATATTACTTGCTGCAAAATAGTGAACTTGGCTATTACCTGCAAGGTGATGTTACTTATTAGTTTATTGTTAAAAGAAATTTAAATGATGTTCTATGTGATATTTAAATCTTTTCATCAAATGCCACAAGACTTTTCTCTGATTTTTTTTAGTTGCAGTACATTCTTAAAATTGTTGCATGTCTGTGTTTTTTACTGTTTTTAGAAATGGAATGACCCTTTAGCACATGCTATAAAGCTTCATTTAAATCACTTTATAACCATGTTATCTTGCCGTCGAAGTATATGATGAGGATTGCGGAAATATATGCTTGTCTATGAATTTCGTTTGATTCATTATAGAGATATATACTGAGAATGGATATAATTCCTGTTTTCCATTTTGTGTTGTTAATTTTCTCTTGTTTTAATTAGAGGTTATGTATAAAAATTGCACATATTTTGGCTGCAATTCATATAATAATTACTTGGGAAAGTCATTATATATTGTTTTCTAAACTAAATATTAAATGCAGTCGGTAGCATAATGGAACTAATATTTTTATTCTTTATTATAATCTGTTTCATTTGTATTTAGTCATTTAAGATGATGCAGTGAGAAATATTAGCTGTTAGGGAATTTAAAAGATCTCTATCTCAACATTTATAGATATGTGGTTTTTGGCTAAATAATTAAAAAAAATTCTTTTTAGTCCTTCAGTTTTCAACTACGGAGCATGGATAAACAACCGTTCTTTTTTCCCATGTCAAGAACCACCTATTGCTATGGCAAGTTGGGAAGCAACGGTATCAGTACCAAATTCAGCCACTGTGCTTATGAGTGGTGATGAAGAACCATATGTTTGGAGTGATGAAGGTAATTTGAGTATCTTGTACTCGGTAGTAAAATAAAATTCGGATTGTATTTGTATATTTTTTATACATGTATGAAACCTGCATTTCATACTGAGGGTAGAAATGTGTATACTAACATCTACTGCGAAAGAACATGTTTGATGCATTAGAAGTAACACAGATGCATACTTTCCTGTGCTCAGTTTTTTAAATGGGAACATTAAAAGCATTTTGAAAGTACTTTTTACTATTTGAGAGGAAAATAGTATTTGAATAGTGTTAAGACATAATTGATTATACACGCATTTTTCCAAAATTTTTGTATTTTTTTAAATATTTTTATGACACTAAATGGTAAAAATTTATTCCAAGTTAGCTCATTAGTGTGTTTTTGGTAAGAATGAAAGTAATTTCAAAAATTTTTAATTTTAATAATTGTAAATGTAATATTTATCTCTATAGAGAAAGTGTAAAAGAAATTATTGAAAAAAAAATATGAAAAATACACATAAGTTTTAGTTTAAATTGAAAGTAGTATGGTAGACCTTGAATGAAGCATGGAGTTGCATTACAATCTGGGAAAAAACAGCATGTTTCAAGAGCAAATTTACAGAAATTGGTATTTTCTGCCAAATTGCAAAATAGACTATATTATATGAACCTTTGTTTACTGAATAGGCTGAATTACTAACTATGCTGTATAGAGATAAAAAAAAAAAAAAAAAAAAAAAAAAAAAAAAGCCTTATATGGAGGTGGATAGGTACCTGGATGCTGAGTCAAAAGATTTGTGGCATAAAACTCGCGTATTATTGTAACAAAACATCATGAAGATCACCAGTATAGTAGTAAAATACATTGCAAATTTATTTGAAATAAAAGGTTCTGCCCATGAATCATGATATTTTTGACAAATTTTCAATGACAAAGTTAACTGCCAAGTGATTAAAAATTCTGCTAATGTACACATACAACCAAGTCAAGGCTGAAGACATGCTACAACAGCCTCTCAGCACCATTTATTTGGCATGATTGCTAAAAGAAACAGGCAACAGAGATCAATCCAGATTACAAAAGATTTCACTGCAGCTACAAGAACTCAAATATCCAGACATACTGTAAGTGATAAGTTACATAAAATCTCTCCTTTGGCACATTAACTTAGCTGTGAAATGTGTCTGGTTGCAGTATTGCAGAAATCATTGTGATTGAAATTCTGACATACTTTTATTCAGATTTGTATTTGCTCTAAGAAAATCAAATGGTTAAATACATAAAATACAGTTGTTATCAAATAAGAGGAGAATAAATAACAATAACTTAAACAGCAAATTCATAGTGATATAAAAATCAATAAAAAATTGTTATAAACAAATCAAATATCTACAAATATTTGCTGAATAAAATTTCTGAAAAATAATTATATGTGAAAAATGGGAATGAATTTAAGATATGGTAGAACTATCACTTTATCACTACACCTTTTTTTAAGACTTCCATCATAATATCTAAATATATCATGTAATAAATAGCACTGATATCACTGATCAATGATTCTGCTCATGCACTTTTTTCAAAATGTCAACATATATTTACACATATGTGTCTCAGGCAGGATCCAAGTTCTGTTTATTGGTGCATCTCATTTTGGTTCAGAGAATGATTCCAGACTTGTTGCAGTCTGGAAGGAGCAAGACTCATGCAATAAGCTTGAAAAATCAGTGAAAGATAGGGAAAGGTCTCCAAAGGAGGTGGAATCATGGTATCATTTGAATGGTGGACACCATTTTAAATGAATTCACTAATCCACACATTTTTACTAGTGCAACTATGAATATTGAAATATGCAGATTAATTTGAAGAACTAGTTTATGACTCGAATTTTTTAAATTTCCATGAACATTCATACTTTGTGGGCCTGATAAATCCTGAGCTGAGGTATTAGAAAATACTATTGAATTAAATTAAGAAAATCACTTTAAAATTGAATGAAATTTTTATTTTTTGAAGAGTACTAAAATAATGAATAAAAAATAATTATTTTAGAAGGATTTTAAATGGTAATTAACTATTGTTTATTGAAATTTATCATTATATGATAATGGATATGCATAATTTTCACATATTCAACAGTAAATATTTTTTTATTAATTTATGTTGTTGATTTATGTTATTATGTCTTCGTGTTTGAGAATATCTTGAAGAATTCAACATACTAGAATTTTTAATGTATTTGACAGTACATATCAAATACGTTGCCAAATGCATTTGACAGTGTATGCTAGAATTTACCTAAATGAATGCATTTTTCCTCCCCCAGGATTAACTACCTTTTACTATTTTACAAGAGCAGTCTTGCCTATGTCTGTTTTATGCCTGGCAGCTGGTTTTTGGAAACACCATGTTCTTTCTTCCACACACAGGTAGTAATAATTTTAAAAACATCATGCTGTTACTTTCACACTTGATTAATGGTTGTGTTTTTAGAAGTGTAATATGAGTGTCTGTTGATCCAAACTGGGATATTGCTCCTTGACATGAATGTAAATGAAGTCTCAGTTGAAATAACTGTTATTTCATGTTGGCTTTATCTTAAAATGACTACATAATGCAGAAAGTAAACTCCTATTAGGATAATTATCAATACTAGAGACAAGAATCATCATCCACACAGAAATATAAGCTGAGCTTTATTTTCAAATAAGAGGAATGGGATTATAAAATATGTGTAACATGTTGAAAAACATTACATAATAAGTAACGTATGCAAATATAAATCACAAAAAATGAAAAATCTACAAATATTTATTTAAATTTGCAGTATGTTGCTCTAAAGCTACTGTATAACATAGTGTTGTATGGGATATTAAAAGTCACTGTATGAAAGATAGAATGAGTATAAAGTTTATTTGATGGTGTTATGTGCATGATGCTATAAAATTAACATAGACAGTAGAAATGAATATATAAACTCAATTCCATGTTAACATACGGTTACAAAGTAAGTTGTTATCATTTAAGCAATGTTATGATTTTCTTGATGCTTTGGATAAGACCAAGATTTCCAACTCTTTGACTTCTTAATTGACACTAAAAAAGATTCCTTAGCTCTAGGAATGCAGATTTTGGTTTAGCAAGCTGATTATTAATGGGGATCTGAGTCAAAAAATATCAAAGCAAATTTTTTTTTATAACAGTCCTATTAGTAAAGTTTTTTGTAATCAATCTTGACAGTAGAAGCCTAAGTAGTACCACTACTAAGGCCAGAAGTGGTAGCCATTTTATTGTGGAGGCACCTAATAGGCGGCAACCGTTACCTCCTATGAAGGGACAAACAATTTTAGATCCATGCCTTCTCCGGGATTTGAACCTGGGCGCTTTGGTATCGCAGTCAGGCTCCCCTAACCACTGGACCGTCTGGGCGGCCAGATCAACGATGTATCTATGTAGAATGTTTCTGTTTGAGATATGTGTCAAGGAGATACGCAGCAACGAAGCCAACTTACTGATTGTTTAAATTTGTGCTAAAGTGATTGTTTTTTCAATAACAAGGTATTTTGTTTAGTGTCAAAGTGAAATTAATAATCGGGATTCTCCAGATGTTTTATTATGTGAGGAGGGGGAATCAAATGCTCATGCCTAAACCCTACGAGAAAATACGCTGTTGGTGGTTTTGAGGTTCGGATTTTAGATCATTCCGGGTAATGGATGTCCAGATTTCAGACTTTGTACTGTATTTTTACTGTACCACCTGTTACCTTTATTTCAGTCAACTTGTTGAATGCATGAAGCTGTAAAATACTAATAATTCAGCCTAAAATTTATACCCTGTGATTAAACGTTTGGTTGTATGGGTTTTCTTTTTGTGTAAAGTAAACTGAGGACCAGTTTCCTTCTTGGAACAACTTTCACAAAGGCATTCTTGTCATAAGGACAAGTAGCTGTCATGTTCTTTCCTTTAATCAAATAATCCAGTCCTTCATCTTAATTCCCCCGATGCAGTCTTTAAAATATAAAGGTACAATTTTTATAATTATTAAAACTGGCAGGATAAGTAGAAATTCATGGTAAAAGCAAACAGCAAAGCAAATGCAGATGATGTTCAGGGTTTTAACAGAAGTCATATATGTAGTTTCTTTACTTAAATTCATTGATATAACACTGCTTAATTAACATACATACTTTACATCATAAAGTATTTGGTACTTGCATATTATCCCATTGACCATGAATATTGGCTGCCATTGAACCAGGTAAGTTAGCAGAGATCTTGCCAAATTTGCATCACTCAGTTCAGTGGAAATCTGAGCTGCACTTCTGTCTGCAAGGTCTTGCAATAAAATATTTGTCATTGTCCCTTTAGAGTCCACTAAATAGCAACTGCTATAACAGTATTCGATATGCTTTATTTGTGTGTTTAGTAAAGAGGCTCTTGTCAGTTTCTACTACTTTATTAGGTCCTCTGGAAGCTCTGTTTATAAAGCCTTGAGTACAAACTTCCCTCAAGTGATTTATCCAATCTATTATGGTTTTCTCAGCCATAATAAACTGTTCTTTTTCCCGTTCAACAGATGTTAATTCTTTTAACCTGCTGCAAATGAATGGGAGTATTTTTGCAAAATGTGATTCTACAGCCTTTAAAGTAATTGCTTTCAAACTTGTTTAAAAAAAAAGCGCAATAATTTGTAATTCCTATCTTTGTTCATAAAAAGTAAAGTGGCTCATCGAAAATCAATCGGGCTTACATCAAACAAAAGTGCAGGTGTAGTGAGTGTTCTGTGAGGTCATTCTTCCATTAATTGGAGCTAAAGCATGCTGTTTGACGACTGTTTTATGGTCCACAATTTGTACTCAAGTATCAAATTTTTTGACATGGAAGCCAAAACTTAAAAATTGAAAAATAATTTATTATTCTATTTAAAATAATAAAATAAACATTTATGTAAAGTTTATTTTTATTTAAGTTTACTATATGTTATCTATATTTCCTCTACTAAAAGTTTCTCTCTATATTTATTTCTTCCCAAATAGAACTGGTCCTAAATGCAGAGTATTTGCACCCTCTAAACTTGTACAGAAAGCTTTTCAAGTAAGTTATGTTTATGTATAATAAGAAACAATTATTAGATTAAATCAGGTTATAGGAAAGCCTTGCCTTTGCATGGGGCCATTGGCCCATTTACATAAGCACATCTGTTTATCTGTTTTTTTAAAAAAGTCACTTGCTATGGTTAAGCTATCTTGAGTATCTATCTATCATTTTGTAAGGAGCTGAAGAGCAATGTACAGTTTACATTTGTCTTTTCTTTCAATTGTATAAACACTGTATATATACAGTGTATATATACAGTGTACAATTGTATATATACAGTGTACAATTGTATATATACAGTGTACAAAGTCTGAAATTCAGTATGATATAATGTCTGGACCACTAGCTAGAAAGAAATTTTTTCCCCTCACAAAATCTGGGAATGGAGAATAGAGAAGAAAGACAGGTTGTAAAAATGACCCAATTAACTGAGATTCCTGTATTCCTTTGAAATACCTACTAGCTAGGGAATTAACTGGGCCAAATGACAATACATTGATTGACTAGCCAGGATCACCTTTTCAGCTGAGTGGTAATGAGGATGTTAGCATTTTCCTATTGTTGTTGCTTATCCTCGAGAGATCTGGCGTATGTCAGATCAGCTCCAGAAGATTGTTGACCACCAGAAAATCTATAATAATAAGGTGATCAAAAGTTAAGTCCCCCTTAGAATGTCCAATGCAGCATTTTTTTTTTTTTTTTTTTTTTTTTTTTTTTTTTTCTGACCTAAACAGTAAGTAAAGCCCCAAATCATATTTTGAAGTGAGATATTGCTAATACCAATTTTCTTTTGTTGGAATTGCAGTAGGAAAAGACAAAACAATTAGGTTTTGAGGCATTCATTTCAGTTAACCTAGCAAATTGCACTCTTCTGCAATTTTCTGATTTGAAGCAGCTTATTATTTTGTTCCATCTGTTATTATTATATTAAAATTACAGTTGTATGATAACGTCTCCATTTTATTCTCTTCCTAAAACTGCACTTCAGTCAATCAGCCAATGTATATCAGAATTTGGCACGTACTGAAATGCAGATAAAAGTAGCTATTCAAAAAATTCATGCTGAAGTAAGACCATTGTAGGATTTTAGAAGCATTTTAATATACCATCTGATAAGTGAGGCATTGCATGATCATGAGAGATGTTTGCTAATATTTTTAAAAGCGCTTGGTGTAATTTATAGCTGAATACCAAATTTTGTGATGATGATGGTGAGAGCTATGAATCTGAAAATTTGCATATACAGTACAAAGTCTTTAATCCGGACGTCCATAATCCGGAATGATCTTTAATCCGTACTTCAAAGCTACAAACTTTCTGTGCATGGCTATAATACTTTTACGCATGCACATAATACGTTTACGCATGCGCGTTTAATGTATAATGGACGGTATAAGCTAGGCTAAAATTATCTACTTATCTATTTCATTTAATATTGCAGATTGCGTTGTTCCTTAATCTTCTAATTGGATCCGGCTTATTATTTTTTGCAGACTGTTAGAGCAATTTTATAAAAAGTAAGCCTGAACTTTCGATTATGTCAAAAAGAGTTTCCGATTCTGGAGCTGCCAAAAGATCTACAAAGCGAAAGCATGTTTCGATGTCCATCAAACAAAAAGTGAAATTGCTGCAAAAAAAATGGATAAAGGCATATCCTTTGTTTCTCTAACAATTCTGAAATCTGTTTATCAATTTCATGCTGTTCTGCGGGGGGGGGGAAGACGTCACAGCACGCAATGAACTGGAAGTTGATCTGTCAGCACTCACTCCTCATCTTCAGGGCAGATATTTTTATTTTATTCAACTTATAATTCCTTACTAAATGGTATTTCATCTTGATGTACTCCTTTGATATGATTTAAATCAAATTTCTCATCATTATAAATATCACGAATACACATCAAATAGTTTTCTGGTTTCAATTTTCTAATTTCCACTATGCATAATGTATGCTTAATGCATGCACGCATTGAAAGAAATGTTTAATAAAGTAAACAAGTAAATATTAAACTTTTTTTGTGTAAATTTTGATACCCTTTAGATCATAATTGTTCTTTATTTCATAAATTAAGGTTTCATATTTTTAATTTTATAATTTCTGCATGCCATCTTACCAGATTTAAATTGATGTCTATAATCCGGAATCACCAAAGTCCCGGCGAGTTTGGATTAAAGACTTTGTACTGTATTTACAAGAAAATGAAAAATTTTCCAATTCTTGGAATATGAGAAGAAGTTTTAAATGAAAATAGTTACAATGCATTGGCAATTAGTTATGAATGCATTAGTCATGAATTAAATACTGAAACAACGAATATTTGTAGTGTGGTTTTAAATCCAGAAAATATATGTACTTTTGCTTTGAGTCACATTTAATTTCACATGATGGCGGTTCAGAAAAATCTTTCTTTACACAAAATAACTTTTAAAGAAATTTCCTAAATTTAAATTTCTGATATAAAATCCTAAAATTTCTGAAATTCAGATTGCTGAAGTCCCAATGATTTCAGACATTGTACTGTATTTGCCTAATGATATGTGATGTGTTATTTGAAATCCATACATTTGCCAAATGCTGTGTAGCAACATATAATTGAATTAGATTAGATCTGTTCATTAGTGTCAGTAAATTATTTTTTATTATACTGAAGAACATACCATACATTCATGTAAAGTTTTATGTCTTCTTTGTACCATTTCAATCGATGAAAACTTAAAAAAAATAAATAAAAATAAAAATAAATAATAATGAACAAGTGATCAGAATAATTGGAGATCTGAATAATTACCATTCAGTTATATGCAGTTTTGCTGAATGGCTGTTTAAAATGATTAGTGCAAAGCTGAGATAGTTAACAGTAATCTGCAACTAGTCCTTATGGTGAATGTTCTGAAAATGTTTAGTGTTTCCTTGAAAATAAGTAGAGGTAGGTGTTGAATATCACCTTTATAACACTGGTGTCACAAGTTTAAAATGCAATTGGAATTTTCCTTTGAAATGCAATTGTCCCGAATCGGTTTGAACGACAGATTTTAGTATATTTTTTATCTTCAAAACAGAAGAAAATTCCCGTTGATGCTGTACTACATTTAGATCAACCAATCGGAAGGAAGGCAGGATTGCGAGACTTCACTACATCACCTAATTATATAAGCTTCCAGCAAGATTTCTAGAAATTTTCTTTTAAAATGTGTGAGAAATTTCTTTTCTGGTCTCATAAGCTTGTAAGCAATCACCTCCACATAAAATAAAGTCACCTGGAACTACTTGTTGTCATCTTTCAGAGGTTTGATTCTATTTAAATTTATTTAAATTGTATTTTACATGTGCTGCTTAATTATGTGATATTACATTATTATTGTGCTAAATCTACTTGTTGAAGTACCCGTATTATGCGTGGGAGGTGAGGTAGATTGAATAATGTGTTTAGATTTCATAATTTAAAAAATAAATAATGAAACACTCAAAGGATTATTCTCAGTGTAAAAGGCATGATCTAAACATAGAAAGTGAGGGGATATGTCGGCATTTCCTGTTGTCCCTTTCAGGAGCACTCCACCACATCAGTACTCCCTTGTGATGAATATTTATTGGTTCCTCCTTGAGTGCATTCCGCTACCACCATCTCTTCTCTCTCGGTCACTTTTTCCTCTCACTCCCCCATTCCTACAACATTGATGCCTAATGACTGTGACCAATATACCAGTGATTGATGTAAATTAATCTACACCCCTACTCTTAAATTACTATTCAAAAGCTTTACTGCAGCATGAAGTCATGATAATGTAGCAGTAATGGATGCAGTGAAATGTTTTTACATAATACCCGAGATTGCAGGTTTGAACCTTGCGTGGAAAATTTTAAATTAATCCTAGCTCAAATCACTTTCTTTTCCCTTTCAATCATTCTTTCCCTTCACTTTCTCATCCCTGCAAGGCGCTATACCAATGATCAGTGACACACTGCATTTACTGTATTATACATTTACATTCATTTTGCAATTCTGTATTAGTATAATTTTGTTAATACCCTGTTATATATAACCTAAAACAATTATACTGCATTTTCCCATCTAAATTGACAGAATCTTATGAAATTTTGTTTTGAAAGTATAATTATTGTTATTATTAACCCGGCGGAAGTCGCACCTAGAAAAGTTACTAGAGTGGGCGCGTGGGGTATTACATACCCCAATATTAAATATGATAAAAATAGTTTTATTTAGTTTTAAGCGTTTTTCTTGTTCTCGTGATTATAAATGCGTGAATAATAATTGGGTTTCAAAAAATTAATTCCAAATAATTAGAGTTAAATTAAGATAAAGAAAATGATAAAAAAATAAAATCATGCCTCTACGTTTCATTGCATTTTAATACACAGTGCTTATTTTATTTCTTTACACTTTGAACGAAATACATTCATGTGTTCTTGTCACAGAATGTTTTCACATATTAAACATTAAACATTGCATTCACATTCTTCTGTCCTTGGCGATTCAATGAGAATGCCTTGCAAATTTATTACATCTTTCACGCTTAGTTGTTTCAAATTTCATGTATTCGTTTGAATTATTCATGAAAACTTCTGCTTTTGTTTTGCATGCAGTACGTTAGTAGTTTCTTGGTAAAGTATTAATCTGTGATCTTTGTTCAGAACTTTTTTTTCATTAATTGTAATGCTAAGTACTTCAAAAACAGACATCTGCTTCTGTTTCTGGTTGGTGGATTAGCAGTTGATTGTAATATAATTCAAGCATTTATTGCAGCAACATTCAGTGCAGGAAAGAAATTACCATTGGCAACCTCCTTGTTATTCTGGAAATTGAATAATTGGGCTGACATTTACCAATATCCCTGCTCCTTTAGTCATATTATAAAAACATATAATACCTGACATTGTATTTCTCAATCGTTCATCTATAGTATGATTGATATAATGTTGAAAACATAAAAACAGTTTTTTTCCTTTTTTGGAACATCAGGAATGAGTGTTTTATCTTTTTGAAACCAAAACAGTGTAGAAAATATTCCTAGTTTCATCTTCAGTTTCCGAAATCCAATTCATCGCTTTCAATTTTTAATAAATCTCACAGACGTTGCATCTCCATTCATAGAAGTCATTCTTTTTCCCATAATTGCGGTTGAAATTTTTAAGAATTTAATGTCAAGTACTTTAAAATCACTTGCGAGTAGAAATTTATGTTACACTCTAGAAATAATTTCTGAACTAAATATTCAGTCAGAAAAAAAAACTTATGCGGACAGGTGCATGGGGTGTGTCATACCCCAGTTCCAACAAAATACCGATAAATTTTTCTGAAACACACAGCAAAGAAAGTGGTTCTGAAAGTCAACCACAACTAGAAACTCAGCTACTGAATGCAGCACAGAATTTCAGTTTCACAAGTTAGAGGAATATTCCACTTTTATGTAGGGGTGGGGTATGTCACCCCACGCGCTTTCCCACGGGTTAAGTTAATTATTGTTCATTATGTAGAAAATGTTAAATATTGTTTTCAGAGTTTTATTTACAATATAAGCAATGATATTCTATTTCTTGTATTTTTCTTTAATTTAAAGGTTACTACAGAAAAATATTTTCCTTTTTAGTTTTGTTCTTAGGTATGAATCAATTATTATGACTATCAACTGTTATTTATGACTATCAATTTATGATAGTGTTGTAAGTAAAGAAAGTTATGCTATTAGATAAGTTTAAAGAATTTTTATTGACATAATCGATAAAATGTTAGTCCCCTCCTTAGAAAGTATGTTTTTTTTCGCTGTTACTTTTGTATCTCTTTCACTCAGCCATATATTATATGTATTGGGTGAACTTTCAGTTAGTTAATAAACTTTGTGTTTATGAGTTTACCTTTATATGCTTTAAACATTATTTGTAAATGTGTATTTTTCATAGGTACTCAGTGAATATGTTCCTTGTTGTCTTTCTGTTTCTGAAAATACACTTGGCCCTTATCCTTTTCCTAGAATAGATTTTTTACTAGTACCTCCTACTTTTGGAAGCTTTGGTATGGCTAGGTAAGTTTATATCTATATCTTTAGTTTATATCTATATGCATGTAATAATGTAGAACTTCAATATTTTATCTGAATGACTGAGAAATTAAGGTAGGAATATATGATTTGTGATCTTTTTATTATAAGAATTTAAAACTTATTATTTAATTAATATTTTATTTATTTCTTATGTTTTATCTAACATTTGGCATTTTTTATCTTAACTGGATTTTCAAATGTGATTCAAGTTTCACTACTGTCAGACTTAACCAATTTCTTAATATGGTTTATTCTTTATATAGATTGCTGAAGTTGTATTTCTGTTTCTTCACAGAAGTTTAATTAAAAGTGTTTAATTAAAACTTTAAGATGTAAAGACAGATAAAACTTGCATTACTATTATCCCTCTAGGGAATGACACCTGTCTCCAAAAAGGTTGCTATTGAATGTTATTTGAAAAATCAATAAAAAAATTAATTATTATTGTTATTACGTAAAATTATGAATACTCGAAAAGTTAAAATTACATTATAATGTGCATGCTTAATTGTATTTTAAATAAATTATAAAATGATTTAAATTTTGTTACCTAAAGAAACTCATGTTAGAAATTTCTTTTTAATACCCTTAAAAAAATAAGAGCAAACAAAACAATTTTCTATCAGGGTAAAATTTTTTTGATAAAACCATTCATACCAACTTGTTTTAAGTTATGTCCTGAAATGTGAAAGTAATAATTTGATTGTTCTGATTTGTTCCATTTTCCAAAGTTTTTATTTATGTAAAATATTAGCTCAAGTTTTCTGTTGCATGGAAGAAATTTTGCAAAACCCCAGTTGCAAATATTATTATGTTTTGTTATTAATATATACAAAGATGTTATTTCCCTTTATCTTCAACAGAAGAATTACTTGCTCTGATTTTTCTAATAATTTAGCAAATATGCAATTAAATTAGCTTCAGATAAATTCTGTACACAATGAATGTTTTTCTCTGTTCTAAAATATTTTGATGAAACTTGTATTCAAGATATTGCAGTAATGTCTTGAAATTTAGTTTCATCTTTGTTCTCTGGTTATTAGATTACCCCAGCAAGACCTGTTATTTCTTCATTGAAAAAGCACCGACAAGAGATCACCACTATCTTCTTCTGATGGCCTTCCAAGATCCAAGAAATACAGTCTTCAAAGTCTGATTTTTTTTCAGGTGGGGGGAGTCAGATATTGAATCTACTGAAATAACAAAGGCATTCATGAGCACACTTGCACCAAAGGCATAGTTTGCTGTCTGTAATGTGGTGCCATCATGGAATGAGGTGTGGGTGGTAGAGTTTCTTAAAGGGTGTGATTAAATTGCTAGGCAGTGCTTCAGTCTTAGACAAAACAAGACTTCATCTGCTGACTATTATCAGTGTATTTGGGAACGTCAGACATAAGCAAAATGTTGAGTTCTACTGGACTGCAATTATTTATGGCTGCAAGATGGTATTCATCTCAGTGTTTCTTAAATAGTTTTCAAGTGGGGACCACTTTTATAAATTAAAATATTCTGTGGAGCACCTTATTCTTGCCCCTTTCAAAAGCAATTTTTTTGCATGTGTTACTACCAATATATTTATATATTTAAAATACAATTAGTTAAAATTCATTAAGTTTTATATTAGTATTAAGGTTAGTAGGGGAAAAATATATTATAAGGGAGTTGTTTTGGATAGGGTCATAGAAGAGTCCTTTGTAGTGTAACAATTATTTATTAACACGTTAAGTTACACACGGACATTACATTTAACTTTAAGAAAATTACAGAGCAAGAGTCTGATATAACCTATTGGGTTGAATACTTGGCTTTTACTAAGGTCCTTCTCTAGTTACTCAGCAAAGAGTACCCTTGTTGCAGTTAGTCCAACAGTTTATGTTAGCAGCAGAGTTTATATTAAAGGATTGCTTACAACCTCCCTTCTCGCTCCGCCGATGTCCCAGCAAGGAGACAGAACTAAGATTTGGGAGCTCTAGTAATAATGTCTCTAGTCTCAGTTTTTTTTTTTTTGTTTTTGTTTTTTTTGTTTCCTGGGCAAGGGGAACCTTTCTTTGAAGCACTGTCTGGAACCACAAGTTCTTGATTATTTCGGGAATGCAAAGTAACTTTTGGCAATCTACCTCTCTTCCTGAGCGGAAGAATGGGAGAAGTGGACAACTCTTTGAAAGGTGTTAGTGTGCACTCATGCCATTTGTTACAGTACTCATTTTTAATAATTGAAGGCTATCAGAGTTTAAATAATCATTTTCTTATTAATGAAAAACATAAAAATGGTGACATGTTTACTATTTTTTAATCATCAATTAATGATTTGAGGTGTCTTGTGGTTTGCAACTTGCATAGCATCATAAATTCATCTCTTTGGGGCACAGCAGCAATTACTAACAGGAAACACATCCAAATTTTTCAGAACATTATGCTACGGCAAATTTATAAAGCTCCTTGGTTTGTTACGAATGAGGACATTCATAATGCAGCCAAAATTCTCCCCATAAATCGCTTTATACGGCGACTTTCGGCTAATTTTTTCCAAAAGATTCCTTTGATCGGAAACCCCGTACTCCACAGCCTCCCTGTTTATCATCCGGGAATTGCATCGGCAAAAAAGAGACCCAGAGCTATTCTGGAGAACGCATATAATGCGCTTCCTTTTCCCAAGAGGCGTTGCTATGGAGACGAGGCGCCTCAAAGGTTTCAGTACGCTCGTTCGCTTCTCCCTCCCGCCTGAGTGAATTTTTCAGCTTCCCCCAGGGTCACTCTCTCTTTGTCCCGTAATCAGGCAATCTTACTTCTTTCAACTGTAAGTGGTTGTTATCAGGCTCTAAGCACACCTTTGTTCCCTTCTTAAAAGGGCTCTAGTGCAAGGATTACTTAATTTAAATTTAATCCCTGTAAGAGAATTTAATGCTTTTTCATTAGTTAGCATAACACTCAAAGTGAATGCAATCTTATTATATTTATAAAAGTTTCTCCTCAGAGGCATTGCTGGCCGTGTCTCTTTAATTCAAACTCACCTAACGAGTTCCCACTTTTCCCCTCCCATAGACCCGAAGCACTTGCGACATGAAGCTTTTCGTGAGTGTTTCTGCTCTCGTGTTGTTAACACCACATGACCATTGATCAAGGAAACATAGATGTTTTTCAAAATTCATAATGTAACCCCTCCAAATTGATTCTGGCCCTTATTCGACACCAAAATTACTAAATTAAGTCCTTCAGTTTTTTTCACTGTAGAAGGCAGTTACTCTTTTTGTGAAATTAACATTTTGGCACTAAATTTACCTCTTTGCAGAACCCTCTTTTTGGCGATAAAGATAATTCTTTGACGATGTGGGGATAAAGGCTACATGCCTAAGAGCCCCGTAATAGAACCCTTCCTTGGTCCTTGGTATAAATTCATCTCTGAAGAAGTATTGTTATGATTATTTATTGAATGAAACATCTTCCCCCCCCAAAAAAAAGTAGTCAAGACTGTTTAAAGTGGAACTGGCTTAATCATGGCTTTATAATTATTGATTACAACCATATTTTATTAATATTATTTTATATATTGGTTAACTTGTAAAAACCTTTATTTATCCATAGAGAATTATGATGAGTGTTTTAGATTACTGTAAGCCGATATGTTATTAAGAATTTAATCTCCTTTTATGTCATTTCGTTTTTAGCCCAAATGTAATTTTTCTATCTCAGTCTTTGCTTGTGGGTTATAGCAGCATGTGTTCCAGAGTAGCTCATGAAATTGCGCATGGCTGGTTTGGTTTACTTATAGGAGCCCTTGACTGGACTGAAGAATGGTTGAGTGAAGGTTTTGCCACGTTTATGGAAGATTATTTTCACACATTGGCTAAAAATGTAATATTTTTCTCCTTGTTCTTATATCGATATTGTAAGTTACATGTGGAACTCATTCCCATATTTAAAAACTGGGAATCTTTAAGAGTTTTTTTTTTCTTTTTTTTTTTTTTTTTTTCAAAATTTGACAAGAATTTCCGTTTAATTTTTGTTACACTTATTTATATAATTTGATAAACTTGATTGATATAGTTGCTTTGCATTTTGGCTGCTCTAGTGTCTTTTACTTTTGTATGGAATAATCCATTTTGCTTCTGGCAACAAGAAATAATTAATATTTTCAAAATCTGCTATGTATTATAGCATTTATAATTTACAAAATGATAATTTTTTGCAAGCTAGTAAAAGTGGGCATATTTTATTTCAATATTAATAAATATTTTTGAAGATAACTATAGTGATTTTAATATTGTGCTGGTAGTATGTGTATTCTAAAAAATAGTACTAATTTCAAATGCGTTTGATACTGCACATTTTACATGATTTAAATATTAATAAATCTTTTGTCATATAGATGCAAAATTGTGAAAAGAAAGACTACTTGGAACTGAAGGCTTTTTTGAGGAAGAAAAACCTATTACATGAAATAGAAAATACAGCTGATGAGCTCCAAATTCTTAGGTTTATATATTTAATTCATGCCTTTGATTGTGTTTGTTTTATAAGCTAACAATACTTTAAATATTTTTTATTACAAGATTTTGTTTCAGGAAGACTGGTTATTATGATTATGAAAGTTTTTTTACATTTTTTGGGAGGTGGAGGTTGGATATTTGTTTGTTCATCTTTCTGTTGGTTGATCCGTTCTTAATTTTGAAACAGTATTAGGCCTTTTTAAGTTCAAGTTTCTTTAGTTATATATATGTATGCATGTATGTGTGTGTATTTCTCTTTTAATTTTTGTCTCTCTCCATTCCCTCCTTGCAGCTTATCTTTATGATTAGTTCCTCTGATAATATGAGAAAATAATGTATACATTTATGTGTAGTATTTGAACAGCATTTTGTAAATTAAAAGTTCGTAAAATGTATATAAAATTTGGAAAATTCTTAGTACATGATTGAAATCATACAATAAGTGAATAGTTGCTTTTTTCTATAGTAATACTTTACAAGAATGTTATGTATCTGATCTTTATCATATGAAGGTTTGGTACATTCTTCCAAGTAGTTTTAACCATCACCATGAATATTATGTAACAGTATTTGAAAACTTCTTTCCTTCTTACGGATCATGAATGTTTATATGAACCATGTATTGTTCCAACAAGATGGGATGACTGCTGGAATATGCATGAACAGTCTGCAATAATCCATTCTGTAGAAACTAATGTAAGAATTTACTCTACTGTACCCTTTAGCGAATCGTTTCGTTTTTGATGCCAAGATTGACGCCAGGAAGGATCGGCAGCAATTTCAGGATGGCCACTACACAAAACCGAAATAAGAAGTCAAAGACTTACTCAGTGTCCATGTACACATCGACCTTTTTTCACTTCAAGAAACATCAGAGAATTGTACAAATTAGGCATTGTGCACCGCCGTAATTTTGTCCATGTATATCGATCTATTTTCACTTAAATCAGGAAGCTAAAACAAAGTTAAAACTTGTCATTATAACCAGAAAATATTTGCCGCAAAATTTCCACAAGTTATTACTGCTATTTCCGAAAAAGAGTGGTAACTGCATTTAAAAAGTATTCTATTTAATAACTACATAGCATTTAATGATGCTTTTTTTTTAAACAAATCAATGGTATCCCGCTGGGGACTTGCTCGAGTTCAGCAATCTGTAATTTATACCTTTTCACTAAAGAATTTCATTTCCAACAGCAGTTATCTCAAGTACAGCGTTCATATTACTCTAAGATTTACAGACACATAGATGTTATTATTACATTCAACAACTACAATCAAATAGAATACAATCACATGTATCCTTCATGTTTGAAACTAAATAAAACTTTCAATAAGAAATGAATTACCTAGATTTGCAAATTATCAATTTTAAAGATACTAAAATCTATGACAAAAGAAGAGATTTTGATTTCCCTACTATAAAATTTGTCTATTTTGCACTCCAATATTTCCAAAAGCGTAATACTTAATACCTTACCTACTCAACTAATTAGAATAAAAAATATTTGCAACAAAGTCGACTACTTACAAGAAGAAATCACCAAGTCAATATTCTCTTAGAAATTAAAACACCTCGATTCAAAATTTCTATCTCTTTAAAGAAAGCTGGTATTAACTACTTTTTTAAAATTTCTCATCTAAAGTGATATGATAATTATTACTTAAACCTTAAATGGAGGTAATAGTTGGATGACTACGATAAGAAATTTAATGTAAATATGCACAAAGATCTTGTTTTTTCTCTTAATTATTATTTTTACTATTTCTATACTCTCTTTTTCTATTTTATATATTTAATAACTGGCGAATCTGTTATTACTAAAAAAATGGGGTTTCTAGTTTCTAAGGCGTGTTGTACCCCGATTATGTGAAGACTTTTATAACATATACCTTTTCCTTTTCAGAAACTTTTAGCCAGTTCTGTTTTCATGCTTTAAAATTTTACAGAGAGCTGCTTCTTTTTTCTTACGCTGCCGTTTTGGGTTGACGATCACCCTCCTTGTCGGTAATAATTTTACAGACCACTCCCAACCATTGACACCCCTGCACACAAAATATACAGAGTAGGACATTTTGAATACATGTTAAAATGATTTTCTCTGCTTTGGACAGTTTGAACCTTGTCACATACTTTTTCTAAAAACTACAAAATTTCAGCTTCTCCAGAGCAGTTTGAATTCTACTGTCTTTAAGCAAGAACACCGTTTGGTCATCTTTAGAATTCACTCAGATCACACATAGAAAGTCGTGTTAAGAATTCAGTAAGTTTGCATTTTTCAATTATTGTTTCAAATAGGTTTTTAGCTGTTTAAAGCTCAGATTTAACCTTTTTATTTATAGAAATCTCTAAGTACAGTTTTACATTTTCTTGATATTAAAGGTTTAGTTTAATGTAATCTGGGACCTCCCTATTTTTTAGTTTGTTTAAATGACTATTAGTTTGCTCTTTATTTATACTTGATTTTGAATTTTGGATTAGCATATATTGCTATTAGACCAATTTGATTTTTTGAATTTCATGTATGTAATGTAAAGTTCTTTGGTTTTTTAATTGTCATTTTGGCGCTATGTAATGTTTTATTCTTTTTTCCAAGTGTTTCGAAAATATGTAGGAAAACTCTGGTGCATTTCAGATTCGAGTCTTTGGTTTTATATGAATTTAAAGTCTTTAATAAAAATTTGATGAAATCTTTGTACAGTTTTTGATTTCAAATGGACCAGGAGAACGAAGCATATTTTTGAAACATATTAATCGACTTTAATGAAGCTTTAATTCATTTTCCCCTGATGAGTTTTAAATTGGAATTTCAGTAAAAGGAGATTAATTTGTATTTGTGTAAATTTGTATGTTTTCCCTTTCGCATTTTTATTTTTTGAGATTGTACTGCTATGAATTCTCTTTTTAATTGGATTAATTTTGATATTGTGTTAAACCTCTTATACATGGTTACAATTATTATATTATAGAGGAATTGCCTCGCTCTTATTCCAATATACTAATTAATTTAGATGCTTTAAGTTTATTCTATTTCAATCCTGCAGCTATAGTGCAGGACTAGTTTAAAAATTTTTTATTTGAATTTTTAGCCTATTTATTTATATATTTTCTTTATATATAATTATATATATATATATATAATGTATTAGTAGAAAAAGTATTTTATATATCGTCTCCAAGGACAGAAATTTAACTGAAGCCATGAATTACTATAAGAAAAAAAAAATTTATTTAGTATTTTAATCATTATAATCTAGTTTGCTGTTTGCAATAAAAACCCATTTAAAATCTGTAAAGAAAAATCCTGAAGCATAATAATACCAAAATTCAAAAGGAAAAATTTTAAATACTGAAAAAGTATTTAATGTCATTGACTGTAGATTAATTGACTTGTCCAAGAAGAACAAACCAATGTACTATCAATTAACAATAACACAATTAAGTGAGAGTATTTCATCTTTTTTCCAAATAAGGTCTAAATTATTATTTTGTTAGAGCTAGATCATAAGTTTATGAACAGAACTCAATTAATAGAAAGAAATTACTTAGCAGCTTTAGGCTTATTAATTTACTCATAATTACTTAAAATATATATTTGATTAAAAAAATTTAGAAGACTTTAATAAGTTTCATTTTAACTGGATAATTGACCATTTTAATATATAATGTAAGTAGGAAATGACTTGATTCTCAGGTAAAGAATGTTATTGAGGGTTGACTAACATGTACACACATGAACGACAGTGCAGCATTTCATTTTACAGTTTTATTAACTTAGCAACTTTTCAGTTCTCATGACACATTCTCCAAAAGCTTACAACATAATCACCGGGATTTAACTTTTGAGGATGAGAAAGGTGGTATGCTTAATATAACTAGGGATAATCCGCTGGGTTAATGCAGTGGCCGCCTGTTGCTGGTTAATTTATAAAAAATATATTCACAACTATATGATGTTAATTGATTTGTAAGTATGAAATTGGTTTCACTTAGAATTATGCATCTTTGTTAACGATATTTAGAGTTTATTTTATTTTTAATAGACCATCTCAAGGGAAGGTCATAAAAGAAATTATTGATGGAGTTGATGCTGCTATTTTAAAGAATGGTCAAAATCCCGTGAAAGGTTTCACACAAGTACATTATATAAAGGTAATTTCTTATATTCCAAACACCCTAAATTTTGTGTTATGTTTTAATATATTTTATTTAAAATGTATTTATATAATTTACATAATAAAATACATGGGTGTTCCTGGATCTGCAGGCATCATCCCATTTTTATATTTACTTGAAAACATTGTCAGAAATCTGAGATTAATTTGAAACTATTCAAGAAGAAAAAGGAAAAGGTTTCTGAATCTATATTATGGGAGGGGAGAAAAGGGAAAAAATTAATGTTATCTGATTGTAGCATTTTAAATAATTAAATAAATCTTTCTTTTTACTTCCTTGTACGAAGTAAAAAGGAAGTATTGTAATCGTGAAAAGTTTCAGGCAGCATATTTCAACGAAAATATCCATTTTGACCGCTATCAAATGCAATTTAACGATGTTTTTGCATGATATCTGTATGTAAGGACAAAATATAAGACTCGTTTCCTCAAAAAAAAAAAAAATTATAAAACTGCTTTAAAATTAATTCTGAAGAGAATTTTTCGTGGTGTCTGTATGAACGTATGTACGTACGTACGTATCTCGCATAACTCGAAAACGAGTAGCCTCAGAACGTTGAAATTTTGTATATAGGACTGCTATAACATGTAGATGTGCACCTCGTATTTTGGTTGCAATCGGCCGCACCAAACGTTATATAAATATATTTATATATATATCCACTCTGTTACTCGGCACAGTTATCTCAGTTTCTTTACTCTTATATGTTTGTAAATTGTACATTTTTTGCCTTAAAAATGATTGAAGTATGTTTTTCTTATCTTCCGGTTAAGGTTTTTATGCCTTTCGTAATTCTGGAAGCAATATTTGTACAATTATCAACAATTTAAAAGCTGTTTAAGTGCGGTTAAGTTTTAAATAACATGGCGGACATATTTGTTTACATTTGAAACAGTGGAATTGTAAATTTGTTGCCAATCTAGAGAGACTAAGCTTCGCAACAACAAAAATAATGCCTTCATTATTATTGCGAATTAAATCATGCTTAATCCTTCTGGGAATTTTTTTTTCGAGGAAATAAATGTTTTTAAGATTTACTTCGTTATTTTTAATACAGATATTTTGAGTTTTTTATGTATTTTTGCCTTGTCGCGACGTGAGAACTGAATTAATTGAATGAGAAATACTCAATCGTCTGTGAAAAACTGTTTCTTTTCTGTTTTGTTTGCTTAATTTCTTTCATACATCGTTCTAGCTTTATTATAGTATTTGAATAAAACATGTGGCAATGATAAGATAATTCTTCAAATGATATAAATTTTGTGCATTCAGAGTGTCCTTATAGTAAACAAATGCAGTGAATTTTAAAGAGTGCATTTATTCTATTGTGGTTTATGCGCTGTCGACGAAGTAGATTTTATTCAATCCAATCAATTTAAATGAAATTCAAGAAAAAAATGCGTATACTTTAATATTCCGTACAAGGAAGTCATGTGGTGTACACATCAGATTTTTTTTTTGTTGTTGTATTAATGGATATTTTATGTCCTTTTGCATGTTACTAACTTGTAACACTTGGAATAATCTTATAGCATCACATATTTGTAATTTAAATCTGTTTTTTTTTTAAAGAATATAATATTTCTCAAGATTGAAACTTAAATATGTATAATTTTGTCCATTTTTTAATATGTTTAATAAAAATGCTTTCTTTTAATTGCTATATGTGCAATTAAATTCTTATTGAAAAAATAAAGAGCATTTATATAGTAGAGAAAGAATATGGTACATTAAAAAGTAATTGTTTTGTTAATTTGCATAGGGCAAACATGTTTATTTTTAATATCTTTTGTTTTAGGGTTACTTCTTATTGAAATATTTATCAGACACAGTTGGAACAGAAAGTTTCATGCAGTTTTTGCGGGCTTACATTAAAAAATTCAAAGGTCAACTTGTTACTTGTCAGGTAAAATTTAATTCTGCTATGAATCCTTTGTAATATTAGTATTTCTTTATTAGGTCAGATAATTTGTTCTTTTTCAACATAGTAGTGATTAAAACTAGCATAAAAGATGCAAAATTACCTTTCTGAGTGTGTAAGCTTTCAATATAAATCAATACATAAGATTTTTATCTCCACAATTAAAATTCAAGCTTTGGTGAAGGTAATTTTGTCTATTCCACATATAATCACCTGTCTCTGAAAAAATGTCAGATTATCCAATAGTAATGAAATATGCTAAACACTTTTTAATTATAAAATGTTAATCAATTCTTTTAACAATTTGAGTTCATTTTTGTTAATCAAATACAACTGTGGAGAAGATATGTATGTATTTATTTTAAAGTATGTATTTTATTATGAAATTATATGTGTTTTTAGAAGTAAAATATTTCAGCACTTATTTAAAGTAGCCAGCAAATGGTTAAATTATGTTATCATACCAATTATCTTTATTCTTTCTTACTATGATATTTTACTTGAATAATATTCTTGCTTTTTCCTGTTATCTGAAGTGAACATATTTGTCTGAACGTCTGTGAAACATTTTGTAAGCTGAAACTGCATGGGAGAAAGAAATGTTTTTTAATTACTGAATATATTTAGTGTAGGAAAATAGTTAAGTATTCTCTTGTTAAAATAATAGCTTACTTGGAGCAGACTTTCCTAAATATTTATATAGTTCATATACAGCAAAAACTCAAGTTAGGGGAATATTCCATATTAAGTTCTATATTGTTGTGTTCCTAACTGTACAGTGGTATTTGTAATTAATATTTTCATGGCATAAGCTACAAATTTAACGAATTCTGTTTTGCCCAACACAAAAGTGTTGTTACCCATTCAAAACAGCAAACTTTTACTTATCTCCTAAAATTATTTAAACTAGTTTTGTGATTCATTAATGATAAGCATGGGAAAAAATCTAGGTCAATTAATTTATTCTCGGATACCTTCATGACTTTAGCACATAATGATCTAAAGCTTTTAAACTTTTTACATCATAATGAATATTTTACTAACTCGAATTCTAATTGTATGGGAACTATTGGAAAGTTTATTTGCAGAATTCTCCTATTCAGTGTGTTGAATGTTTTCATAAAATTCACTACCTTATTTTGAAACATTTTGTAATAGAAACAAATAAAGCCTGTAATCAACTGTTTAAAGACCCTTAAGCCCCGTTCACAAGAGCAGATTCGACCGGCGGGGAAAACCAGTTCTTCCAGCGTGTCCCATTCACATGACAAACAAGCATTAACTGCTTCTCCAAATTAGAGGTAAAATTTGCTAGAATGCTCCTACCTCTCGGAAGAAAGGCAAATGGGGAGATTTCCCATACTATATTGTGCAGTTCACTTAATTTTAGTTACTGCTTGCTGGATTGTCAGTGAAACAATAGTGCTGATAGATATCATCCCCCCCCAAAAAAAATTAGATAAAACTGTACAAGATATGGAAATTATAGACAAATACAGATGCTGGGTATTCCAGAAATCTGGGCTGGGTATCTGATGCTGGGTATTCCAGAAATATCGTTCAAATTAAAACTAAAGACAAGTGCATATAGAGGCTTCAGCGCGACCAAGGGACTCGTTACCTTTTGAATGATTTTTTTTTTTTTATTCAAGCATTTTCATTCTACTTTTAATGAATACTACTAAATGGTTTTTTAAGACAAAATAATTTTAAGCTGAAAAGAAGTTTTTGCTAGTAATTTTTTTTAATTATAAATTTTTGAAGAAAAAATTTTATAATTAAAATGACTTTCTTCTCCTATAATTTTCAATGTCTCCCCCCAGTTTTTTATTGTATTTATTAGAGTGTTCTTAATAACTTCAAGGAATGATTTTGCAATTAATGAATTAGGTTCTTAGAAAAAATAAAAATACACTTTTTTTCTAAAATCATTAAAACAAATATGATCTCAGTCACATTTTTATTCAAATAATTTTTCTTTTCAGTATTTGCAAAACCCATCCTTGTTTCTATAAGTATATAATTTAAATAAGCAGTAAAAAATAATAAATAATTCAGTCCATACCTGTATATGTTTTAGGACTTAAAGTAAAAGGATTTATCAAAAAAAAAAAAAAAAAAAAAAAAAAAAAAAAAAAAAAAAAAAAATGCAAAAGTTTTCTCAGTTTACATTTGCAGTTTAAAGAATACAAACTGTTTAAATAGATGTTAAATCACTTCAAATTTCTTTAAAATTTTATTACTGAATTTCAATACACATATATATATATAAATCAAACCTAGTGCCATTTTATTCAATTGGTAGTAAGTATAAACATAAATTACAAACTTTTTTTTAAAACCTTATCTGGCCAGAAAAATTGCAAAAAAATCATAAAATGCAAGCAGAATTTTTCTTTACCTGTTTTTGTTTTCTAAGACATGTTCAAAACAATTTTAATACATTAATTAATTATAATGTTGTTGCATGTGTACGGATTCGTAATAGATTGATAATAGTTTGTAAATAATTGTCATTACACTCAAATCTGATGATAGCTTAATTAAATTTATTTTATCAACAGAAACACTTCAAAGTTCTGGAATTTTCCACAGAAACAATCGTACAAGTGTTTAGAATATCACTAAGTATAATCAGTAGTTATGCTTCAATGTAATAAGAATGTTAAACACAATGCAATGCAAAATGCATCTTAAGAGAAAGTTAACTCAGAAATATCTCCGATCTCATGCTGAACTAACAACTGGCAACAATAACAACTTATATACTATAAATAATGTCATAAAAATAGTGTGGTATAATGAGATTATTGCTTTGAAACCGATGTTTTGAATTGATGCCCAAGAAGAACCAATATTTCCCATTCTGCTACATTGCATATCTTTTAAAAAAGTAAAAAAAAATCATCTAATTAATTTCCTTTATCCTTTTTTTTTTTAAATGCAAAAAGTTTGTTTTATAAGTTGTGAAAATGTTGGTAGTTTGTAACCGATATATTTTTAGATATGAAATTTTAAAATTAATGGGCATCAAAAAGTCTAAAAATATGAACAATTTTCAAAAATTCTCCCAAAATATTTTTTTTATTAATTATGCTACAAACTTCATTTAATTTTTTTTCCTCCACTGTGTCTTATGGTGCAAACTATAATATTCTGAGATTCTCAGTTTATTTGTTAATATTTGCAAAAAATCTTTTCAACTTTAAATTTGAAAAAAATCTAATCCTCTAAAAATCAAAAGTGTGACACCACATACACAAGCAGTGTATGTACAAAGGTTGAGCTCTATATCTTATCGGGAAGCAGTTTAAAAATCCATGACCATCTTTTAACCATAGCGACAAGCACCAAGAGTGAACTAAATAACAGCTTATAAAATAATAATAATAATAATTAAAAAAGCATATATTTTTCAGGAACCATTACGAAAGTTTACTTACCAGTTGTGAAAGTACAGATTACAAAATTAACAACAGTAAGCAACATTAAAATATGTAAACAGTATTAGAAATCGGCCAATTCGGAGACGTGATTGTTCACAGAGCCTTAGCTGTAAAGGGAAGGAAGACAGTGGTCTTCTGAACGGGTCCTAAAGACGAAACTCTTTCATGTTTCCTTTTTCTCCTCTTGCTGACGGCAGCTGTGCGAAGGAGTGTTGCATGTGAACGGGGCTTTATATAATGTAAAATATAACATATACAGGGTGTCTGAAAAGGTTACTGCCAAACTCAATATGCTGGTCTGTCATACCATGATAAACAAATATACATAGGAACTTGTGTCTGAAAATGTCCGCTAGAGGGCAATACTAGCAAGCATGGGGGGGGAAGAAAGTAGGAGAAAAGAGGTGTTAATATGACTTTTATTAAAGAACATGTTTAAATAACAGCTGTTCAAAGTTCCTTGCATTCGCCGCAACATCAGCACATGGGTTTACAGACCCATTCATAATGGACAGATGTGTCATAGACACGCTGCTTCCACAATCCTGGCAACGAGATCCATGTCTGATGTTCCTGTTGTCTCGTACACCATGGACTTCATGTATCCTTATAGGTAGAAATCCAGGGGAGTCTGGTTGGAGGATCGTGATGGCCATGTGACTTGTGCACTTATACCAATCCAGCAATCAGAATATGTCCTATCGAGGTTTTCCCACTCAGTTATGCTAAAATGTGCATGTGCTCCATTATGCTGAAACCAGATGTTTCAGCGTGTAGCTGCTGGACTATCAACCATCAGATCCAGCAATACTCTTTTCATTAAATATCATACAAAATGTCCATAAAGAACTGAGTTAGTAAACCATTTCATCTTTCACCTGCAACGTCCTCATCTGAAAAGATCACACTTCCCGCTCTCCTGTAAGCGCATTTTCGGCCACAAGTTTCTATGTAAATATTGCTTATCATGGTGTGACATACTAGAATGTTAAGTTTGGCAACAACCTTTCGAGGCACCCCACATAGAGTATAGTTTCACATTTTATAACTAAAAAGGCTTGGAGATAGTGATAATTAGGCTGAGTCATTGACAGTATGTTTGGTGGGAGATGTTAAAGGTGGTGGTAAAGAAGAAAATGAAAAGGATCAGATAGTTCTGCACATATTTTAATTTCAGGGTCTGTACCAGTGCTGAGGATTAAAGATGAAGATTTGTTAGCTATTGCACATATGTTGAAGAATATTGCAGTTAATTTTAAACAGTTCTTAGCAGACTCTTAGAACATTATGTATAGCTAAACCTGCTTAACTAATAGTTAAAACGCTTACTTTTTTTGCAAGCATTGCACTAAACAAATATTAAATGTTGTTTTCCTTTATTTGTAATTATAAAAATTATTTTTACCAAAAACTGTATTAAGTTCAATTTTGCTAATTGAAAATAGTATTTAATCAGTACTATTTTCAGTTACTAATACTGGTCTTTTATTAATGTGAAATGATATGAAGCAGATGTGCAACGTGATGTGTATTATAGCAATATTTGAAATTACTTCTTTGTGCTTATTTAGTGATCATCAAGGTTTTTTTATGACTATATTTAACAGTTAAAACTGGTATGAGTGATTTTTTTTTAAATATATAAAAGAAACCCTTTAATATTTTAAGTTTAGCAAATTAGAAACTTACACTCATTCAGTCTACTATAAATATTATCTGTCCTGACAAAAATCCTATATAATCAGTCATTTATATGTTGTTTTTTAGTATATAGGTAATTAAGGTTTTAGTATTCTGTTGATGTTATTTTACAAATGCTAAATTACAATACAATTTTAATATGTGTATGTAAACTTTGTAGTAACAATAAGTTGGCCCAAATACTGTCTTTTTTGCTGGATCTAAACATGCATGCAATGTTTTTACTATTAATACGTAAAATTAAAATTTCCCCCAGTGGTTGCATGGTTAAGACCACTGACTACTGTTAATTCAATCTGACTTGGGTTCTATCCCAGTCAGATGGGCTGGCTGCAAGATTGGCTTTTCTGGATACCCATGTGTAAATGAATATGAGTCTGTTTCCTTTAAATAGTTCTCCACAAAGGCATCTTTCCTCTTAGACAAATAGCCCTTGTGGGTTTGCCAAATTCAAATGAACTTATCAGTAAAAATACAAAATAAAATCAATTCATGGAATTCATGGAGCACTGCTTTATGAGAATATATACCTGGTGCTATTTGTTTGCCTCTCTTTCTCCCCTTTCTTTTTTTTCTCTTTCTTTGAGATGTATGACAAAGATAAACATTAACTTGAATTAAAATTCTTCTAAAAGAATAACGTATCCTGTACTCCCATACATATTTCATTTTTGGCAGCTAAAGATTCAAACTACACTGGTAGTTAGCTTTTATGTAGGCTTGTAGTTTAATTGAATTGTATTCATCCATTTGCTATCCATTTGCTAAATTGTATGAATTAATTAAGGTTTGATATCCATTTGCTAAACTTTAATAACCTGTAGCTAGAACAAAGGTCTCAAACTAAACTATGAAATGCACCTTACATCATTATGGAGGCACCACCAACTTCTAGACTACCTTATTGACAATTTGAATCCATAGTCTTTATTGCGTCCTACAAAAGTTTACCATGAACTCATAACAAACTCATAATAACAAAATGCCTAGTGAATGTTCAGACACTACCCCGGTCCTCTGGTATTCAATTAAATTGTTCATGATCCCATAACAAGGCAGCATGCTTAATGATCTTCAATTACCAAAAGTACTTTTGAGGGTCTTTGGATTAGAGTATTCTGTAAACACTAAATTTTGCTACATTTGTCATATAGAAACACCTCTGATCACTGAACTTGTATGTTATTTTAATGTAGCTTTTATGTTAGAATTGATAGGTTTGATGAATTGATAGTTTTAATGAAAATCATTACATACAAATGATAGTGATCAGCCAGTGCAATTTATTAAAGTGTGTTAATGTCTTCTGTAAAATATTTTTAGTAGATTTAATAGATTGAGAAATATTGAGTGTCTGAACAGTTTCAGGAACTGAGTAATTCATTTGTTGGTTACAATTACTTTATTCTAAATATTTGATAATTCATTCACTGAAAATTAATTTTCTGAAAACTGGCAGTTCAGTCTATTTTCAGATCTCGGCAATTGGGTGACTGCATGAGCATTTTCGTGGTTTTCTGTATCAGACAAACCAGTTTCTTTATGAAAGTCCTCCATTAATGCCTTCCTCTTTTAAGTAGATTGCCCTACTATGCTTTGCCATAATTGCATTGGAAGTGGTTTTACGAGATTATTGTAATTGCAATTTATAATGCTCTTGGCTATCTCGTTATCTTTCTTATCACCTGAAAATTGCTATACTATGACTTTTGACTATGACTATATATATAATTTATATTATATGATTTTAAAAGTTCTTTTAGTTCATATAAAATTTAATATTTATTTTAATGACATCTGTATGGTGCATATTACTTTTTGAAATATGCAAATAAATATGTTATATTTTCAGGAATTCCTTACCATGTTTTTTGATATGTTCCCAGAAGTGCAGTAAGTTTATTTATTTCTAAACTTCTGTATAAATATATATGCATAATGCTTATATAAAGTCATTAATAAACTTTGTTTTTAAGTATGTTTATGTGCATATTATTAAACTTGTGCTTAAATTCATTTTTATGCCATTGCTAAACTTTTATTTTCACACTTCAGTTTGTGAAAATTGCAACACTCTAAAGCATGCATGTAAACTGAAACTTGCAAAAAAATGCAAAGCAGGGAATGGGATGCAATTGATTAGAATTTCAGAGCGATAGTGCATATATGAGCTAAAGAAAATTAAAAGTAGTATTTCAATATCTACCAGTCCAGAACTGGAACTGCGCAAGCCAAAGTGTTTAATATAAGCAGGTTATGCAATTTGAATAAGGGCTAATGATTGGTCAGTGAGAAAGAGGATTTTTTCCATCTTGAAACTGCTGCTTGTATGCAGCATCATGCAATATCAGTGATGCATGTGAGGCAGCAGTGGACTCAAAGGAACAGACAAGTTGCAAATCGGGTAGTAGACACAAAACGTTTGATCAGCATAGGAAGACAGACATTCATCCATATGATTGTGAGGGACCATGTAGTTTTTCCTCGAAAGTTGACACGATGTTGGAGCACTGCTACAAATGTACCATTATCAGCTTCAATTGTTCATTGGCATCCACTTCTTCATGAACTTTGTATGCCTACATTCTTTTGTGTAGGATTCTCTTGATGCAAAACTATCTATACCTGTGGCTGCAATGGGAACTTGTAAATACAGTCACTATTAGATAGATTCTTTTTTACAGTGAATCCTGCTACAATTTTGAGTAGTGATGGCAAAATATATGTTAGATGCCATCTTCTGAAGTTCACTATCCAACATCATATTGGATGATAGCAAAGTGTGGTGACCTGGGATGTCATTGGATGTGACAGATGATCATGTCTGCTGAGAAATGAGCGTACTCTCACCAACAACTGCTACACTAGAGAAGCTGCGGAGTTTGTAGTCAATGCTTTCATTCAATGCATTTCTAAGGTGTATTTCAGTTACACTGTACACATCTACATGTTGCTAGAAACATTCAAGGTTTCTTTGCTGCATGTCAGATACCACTTCTTCCATAGTCTGCCTGTTCATAAAAATTAAATGAATTTCAACAGCCCTCCCAACTCCTGTGCATCTCTTGGCTGCAGCCAATATGGATCAAATCTGGGCTAAAATAAAAGCAATATGGAATATTATTCTTCAAGTACACATTCAAAAACTATTTACTCTATTTGGTTTATTTGATTATGGCAAAGCACTTGATGGTTATCTGCCTAAGGGGAAATATGCCTTTGTGGAGGATGTTTTAAAGGAAACTGGATTGTGTGCACATTACACATAAGAAAAACCACAAAAACACCCATGGAGCCAGCCTGTTTGCCAGGATTCATACCTAGGGTTGAACTACCAGTGTTCAGTGGCTTTACACTCACCTGATGGAGGGGCCAAAAACTGTTTGATTCAAAATATAATCAGTATGCACTCTTACTGTTATGCATGGTGGCTTCACCAAATACTGATTTTGGTATTTAATATTCTTATATTGCCATGTAAATTTTATAGCTTCTTTGTATCACTACAAGTTATATGTGGAATAAATTTCATGGAAGTCTGATAATTCCTTGATGTTTCAGTTTTCACAAACAGGAGTATATTTGTTTAATACATAGAGAAAAAAAATAGTTGTTGAAAAGTTTAATTGATTAAAATTATTTCTTAAGTTGAAATACATCAGTTAAAATGTTTCAATAATTTTGCCTTTCAGAATGTAATTTTCATTTTATTTTACTCTTCCCCCCTTAAAATATTTCATTATGTCATAAACATCAGGAAAAGAAAATGTAGTAATTATGCAAGCAAGTGTGTAAATTTTTAATAAAAAATTAATTTAATAATAAATCATCTATTTATTTTAATTGTATGCGCTCAGATCTGCATTTTATGAGTTTAAAATGTGTCTTTTATTTCCTTATAAAAGGGAGATTTTGACTTTAGAGAAAATTTATGAAAACTGGCTGCACAATCCTGGTGTTCCTGTTGTGAGTATATTCTGTTGAATTTATTAAATATTTGGTTAAATTTATTAGAAACTTTATATTAAATTCCAGTAAACATGTTTTGTAATGTGATGACAAATATTTTACATTTGGTAGTTCAGTCCTTTCAAAACTGAATTTAAATATTATACTTTTTACTTCATATTCTAAAGTAATAATCTGTCAGAAGCTTTTGTGCTTGTATATTAAAATATATACCATATATGCAATAGTGTTTGTATGTAATATGACGTTTTTCAACTTTCACCAAATAAAACTCTGAAATTTGAAGGAGAGATTTGCCTTGGTGACAAAAACAACAGGGATTGACTGATTGACTTTAAAGATTTATTGCCTGTGCTTTTATGCCAATGGAAGAGTGAAATTGGCAATAAATCTTTAAAACTGTGCCGTTTGAAAAAGAGGAAGACATTACCGTGCTAATAAGAAAATATAAAAAAAATTTTGGATAGCATTTAAGATTTTTATAAACTTTGTGAATGAATGTGAGAAATTATGGTGAAAAGAAGTAGAAAAGTCAGATTTTTTATGAGTTATTGCATTGCTGATCTATATCACCTTTCATTACTAACAAATGGGTTACAGCCGAAAACATCGCGGACGAAAACGTCGCAGAGAAAACAACGCAAGGCAAAAACGTCATGCTACAAAACATCGTGGGAGAAAACATTGCAAAGAGAAAACATCGCAGTTCTAAAACATCGTGGTACAAAACATCGTCCTCGAAAATAAAGCAGCTCAAAAACTTCGCAGTTTGAAAACATCGTGGTAAAAAATAAAGTATCTACAAATCATCGCATGATGATAACATCGCAGACATGTTTTTTTTAGGCTTTAATAACTGTAAATAGATATTCCCATAATAATTTGTGAGCGCAAGATGTAAAGAAGGATAATTTTTACTTTCACATTTTTTTTATTAACTAATAAATCTTTGCTGAAAACGTAAGAAGGAAACTTAAGCATAGAAAATTAAATGCAACTTCTAGATTATAACTTTTTATGAAAAATTACCAGTAAAAACTTTATAAAAAATTATTTATTAATGGTCTTTGTTAGTTAACTATGTCGGTTTAAAATTCTATTAAGTGCTATAAGTTGCATTAATTTTCTATGCTTAAGTTTCCTTCTTATTTTCTCAGCAAAAATTTATTAGTTAATATAAAATATGAAAAACAAATTATCCTTCTTTCTATCTTGCGCTCACAAATTATTATGAAAATATCTATTTACAGTTATTAAAGTCTGAAAAAAGCATGTCTGCGATGTTATCATCACACAATGATTTGTAGATACTTTATTTTTTGCCGCGATATTTTCGACGACGATGTTTTTAAACTGCGAAGTTTTTGAACTGCTTTATTTTCGAGGACGATGTTGTAGCACGATGTTTTAGAACTGCGATGTTTTTTCCCACGATATTTTGTAGTACGACATTTTTGCCTTGCGTTGTTTTCTCTGCGACGTTTTCGTCTGCAATGTTATCGGCGGACACCAGCAAATGTATATGCCATTTTCTTCCCTACAAATCATATTAGCTGATTTAGATCTTAGGGTTATGTGGTCAGTAAAGACACATAATAAGAAACATTTAATGTGAAGAATTCCTGTTGTCATATGCAACTATTGTAAAATTTTGATGCATATTGATTTTGAGGTAAAGTGGCACCCAAACAATCCATCGCTTTCAAAAAGGCAGTCTTTTCCCCCTACAAATGATTCCCAGGTTGTTTTATCAGAGAATAAGTAAACTCTCTACAGATTTTAACATTGATCAAGAAGAATGGGGTAGTGCAGTGTTCAATCACTTTTCATTAATGTTGATGAAAATCTATTAACAGGAATGTTCAAGTTTTCTGTGATGGAGTGGTGATTGATAGAGATGATGATGATGAAGATCAAATTGCTTTCCAAACTATTGCATATTTTACAAATATACTAGAAGCTATAGATACATTGTAGTATTAACCTCAAAATGTTTTTAATAAAAAATGCAGTGATATTCTTTAAAGAATTGAAAAAAGCATTTGTTGCACATTCTCTAAACGAGAGCTTCTTAAACTTAATTTTTATCACTGAGAATTTTTTCGTGACCCCAGATATTAAATATAAAATAAAGATATCAAAATGAATATCCTCCCATGAATAATTCACTACTTTGATAAACAATGTACATGTAAATTGAAGTAGTTTTAGGATTTATTCTAAGCAAGTAAAAATTAAGGAAAATTCTAATGAGACAGATGTGTTTGTTTTCAGGTGCATAACAAATTTAATGTTGGTGACACCACTGAACATAAAGCATCTTTAACATATTTCAACGTTCAACGACATTTGGTTTTAATTAGCGTTAAAGCTGAAAAAGTAGTTTCATAAAAATATATAGTGCTGAATAAGAGAAGAACATTTAATGCCATTTCTGAATTAGTGAGAAATCTGATTCTAACTCCAATCGAGAATTCATCAAGGATTTTTGTGAAAACTCAAGTTTGAATTGCTAGATTGCTTTCTCGTTGGTAGAGGGAAACTGTATAAGACTGGAAAGAGCATCACTTCTTATCTTAATTCAAGCTCAGAGTACTTAGCTTGTGGCTGAGACTTGTTATGTTGTCTTGTGTTAAATGCTCTTAGTATTTTGCAGTGGTAACTACTGATTGTGCTGTGTTATACTGAGAAGAGTATAGTATACTTTTGTGAGAAGTACTGAATACTTTTGTGAAAAGTTCCAGAATTGTAAAGGGTTTGTGTTTTGGAAAAAATAAATTGCTGTCATTGGTTCTGTATGCATTCAATCCATTACAAATCTGTGCACATATAACAATATGTTTTGAAGCCAGGAAGCATTAAAAAACTGCTATTACCAGACTAATTGAAAATTATTTATTAAATATTTTCATATTCCTCCATATAATTTGCATAAAAAATTTTATTAGTTTTTTTATGTGTGTCCGTGATAAAACCTAACAATTTTTTTATTCAAATTTAGGAAGTTAAAGGAATTAAACCTTCTCCTGAAAATGAATTATTTAAAAAAGTTATTAGCGAGGTAAAGTATATGAAGCATAAATGAAATTAAAATATTTTATTTTAAAATTATATCGTATTGTACAGAAACTTAATGTATCTTTTTTATTTCATACATTTGTGTGTAATTGTGATTGTGAAATTTAATATGTAATCATACTGGGCTAACCTAGTGTATCAGTTTTTATTCTGCAGAATTGCATGAGCAGAAGACTACGTTATATTGACAGAATAAAACATTACTAAAAATGCACATTAATTTATTAAACCAATTCAAAATCTTTCATTTTGGTTCATGTATCACATTTTGCATATTTTTTTAAAACATTTCATATATTTTTAAAACTTTTAACATTCATTCATCAATGCAGTGTTTTTTTAGTATTTACTGATTCATTTATTAGATTTTTAAGTATCTGAAATATTAAAATGATTGGAGGATAATGTGGAAAAAGAATTATTGCTGAAACAATAAAATATTTTATAATTTTTAACTAAAAAATAGTTGGTAAGATTAATTTTACTATTTTAATAAATCTATGAAAAATATTTATGATGCCAACAGTCTGAATACAGTATTGTAATTGTTGTAGCTGTACTTTAGGCAACAGTAATCTGTCCAACAAAACCTTTTTTCTCATCCAAGCACTTTTATAAAGTTAATTCAAAGTTTTTAAAAAATAAAAATGTTTGGTAGCTATGCATATTTATATATAATTAAATGACAAATTAGTGTTGAGTCATTCCCTTAAAATTAGCTTGGTTATTCAGGTGAATAAATTGACTAATATAATAAATGAAATAAATTTATTTAGTACAGATTTATAACCAGTTCTCTGTATTATAATAATTTCTGAAACTCAATTCTGACATTTCTAAGCATATTTAGTAGCTTGCCATGCAGTGCATCTTAATTGTTAAATAGTTTTAGCAATGTATAGTTCATCAATTATTTTCATATTTCTTTTTTGAAATGCATTATCTTATAGCTTTAATAGGAAGTTTACGTTTAAATTCTATTTTGCTTTCAAATTAACTTAAAAGTTTTTTAAATTCTCATTTTAAACTACTTTTCCGTATCTTAATCATGTTTTATTTTTTGTAATAAAATTTTTTTATATTGTTTTAATGTTTTTTGATTGTTTTAATGTTCCTAAAATCATTTGGTTTCTTGTCATATTTCTTTAGTTTCATATTTGCTGTTATCAAATTTGTTGTCAGTGTTATTGCTCATCACTGATATTATCACTAATGTATCATTAATATTATCATTTATCTTAAATCAAAGTACTGAAAAATTATTCTTTAATGAATATCTAATTCATACCTACTTTTATATTCAGCATGTGTGTTGTCAGCTGTCCAGCATGGGTTATATTAAATTATAAACTGTCTATTAATATTGAAATTTTTAGTTTTGTTGATCTTATTGATGTTTTCATACTTTGGTTTATTATTTGTATTTGATAAATAAAAATTCTATATATTTTGTTCACTATAGACAGAAAACTGGGTAAAAATTAACTCTTGTATGCTAAAAAAGAGGCAGAAGAGAAGGAAATTTAGTTTTGATTGTGTATCTTTTGTGAATAATGTAAGTAATTCTGCTCTTTTGTTTATTTTTTCATTCTATGAACTGTTTATTGAAGAAAATAGAATTAATCTGAATTTCATGTAGGAATATCTACCTTAAATATTCAGTTTAAATATACTTATTATTTATAATGTAAATTTCTTTTGTGAATTATGTTTTACTTTCAAGTAGTTCATTTTTTAAGGTTTTATTAACTTTTGAACTTTTAGACGAGAATTAATGTATTTAATATGATGTAATAACAATCACTAATATTTTTACTTCTGGAGTTATTAAATGGCATCATTATCTAACTTTTCTTTAATTTTGTCAAATTACAATTTGAACAGAAAGTTATTAAATTGATTAATGTGCAGGTATCAAACTGTTCAGAGATTATTCTGCATATAATGACTGCACTTTTTTTTAATGACGTCTTTAAAATACCTTTTTAAGTATTAGGAATTTGACATCCATCACAATTTTGATTTTTCTGTTATAATATAACTTTTCATTCATAATTTCTATTACTGAAGTTACTTAATGGAAAAGTAATTGGAAAATCATTAGGAGACTGATTGGAAACTTTTAACAAGGGTCCATAATTATTTATTTTGCAGAAGTTTTGGAAGGCTTGTAGTATTATTATCAATCAGTGTTTGAGTAAATAAGTTTGATGTTTATCAGATAATTCAGCAGTCAGTTTTAAATGCATGCTTAGACATTAAGTCATTGAAGTAATTTATATCCTACTATTAAAATTATGGATTGGATTGGTCAATTTAAGCAAAACATATGAGGATTATCTGCCTGAGGTGCATCCTAGGTTTGATCAAGAATTTCTTGGAAATTGGAATCTTCTTTTAGTAGGTACCTCTGGTGAAGAATTTTGAATCAGTATATTTTAAATTCCTCTTTTTGTAAGGATACTGCATTCTCAGATATCTGTCATATTCAGATTTCACACATCATCACATTCATAGCAAACTTTTATTTTTCCATGACAGCTAACTATTATTAACCACTGTACAAAGTGCCTTAGCTATACAATAGCATTTAAAAAAATGTTTTTCTGTATTTGAAGCTCACCCCCCTTAATTTTCAGTAATATTTTGCAATTTTTCATTAGGCTTAAAATTGCATACTTTCTAATTTACAAATTCTTATGAAATGTGCTGCTCATTGTGGATTTTGCATTCTTACAAAGGAGTAATTTTTTGCCACATTGCAATGCAGTTTCAGCATCGAAGGTATTCAGCTTTTCACATGATCAGTATCATGTTCATTAGCAAACCAAATATCGACATTTTGTTCATGTTTTGCTGATAGAAACTATGGTTTATTGGTCATATATACAACTATTTATTGCCATTTTAGGTTTCAATTTAATTCCACCAATTGAACTGAGTTACATGTTAGCTAATCTGAAAATTTTGTGATGTTGCCATTTTTCTGAACTGAAGTATGTGAATAAATTGCTGACCTTTTCGGGGAACGTACTTTCCTGCTCAAATGTTTGATGCAAATGTTGATGTTATTTACCGGTATAGTTAAGCATCAGAACATAAATGAATATTGAATGGTGCAATAACTATTTTTTAACTTTAAAATACTGCATCAGAACTGAAGTGCTGTAAGTTCTGACAACTTAAACTACTATTTACTAATTCCTTTTATACACACATAACCAATGCTAAAAATTCAAAAAAAAAAAAAAAAAAAAAAAAAAAAAAAAAACTGAAATGCTCGAATTTCATGAAAGCCCCCAAAACCTTTTTTGCAATATCTTATTTAAAGTCCCACCCCCACCCAGGATTAGTTTTTATTTTATTACTACTGTAATGTTAAGTGTCATATCCTTTTTTTTTTTTTTTTAGGACTAAAATTGTTGTACCTAAAAAGTAATTATTTCTTTCCTGTAATGATTCTTCATTTTACAGCTGACTGCAGAACAAACAATACTGCTGCTTGAAAATCTGTTAAATGAAGAAAAGATAAGCACTCAGATATTGAGACATTTAAAAGAGTCGTTTAAATTTGAGGAGACAGATGCTGAAGTAAGCCTTGCTCTGTATATTTTCAGTGCATGTGTGTAGCTGTTAAAGGGGTTTATTGCTAGGGTGATATGATTTAGCATGAAGAGGCAAAGAGTCATAAAACGTTTATGGTAAACAGTGGCACTAAAATCAGATTCATAGTGGGTAAAGAAAGAAAGATAATTATCAGATTCAATTTCAGAAGTGAACTGGGCATCTGGAATCTGTCCAGTTCATAAAAGATAAAATCTGGGTTAAATCCGTCTTTATCATCAAGAAGCATGAATATGTCATCTACATAGCTAATTTAGAGTCAAAAAAATAGTTTTTCTAATAATTTGACCTTAAAATAGTTAACGTAAATGTCAGCAAGTATTGGACTGAGAGGCTTACTCATAGCTATTCCTTCAATTTAGTGATGAAATTATTTTAGAAAATGAAGTGGGCTTGACTCAATGTTAGTTTGGAAAGTTAATTCCTCAATTTCAGTACATGTGGTCTGATTTTCAAGACATTTTAATACTTCATCAACTGGCACATTAGTAAACAGGGATTTAATATCAAAAGAAAGCATAAGAGTACTGGGGAGAAATATCATTACATTTGTCAACAATTTCAAAACACTTTTTGACAGTGTAAATATCGTTAAAAAGTAAAGGAGAAAAATCTGGAAACTAAAAATTTGGCTATAGGATATGATGTTGTTAGTCTAGTTTCTGCCTAATATGAGTTGCATTTTTTGCAGTGGTAGGTTTTATGCAGGTGAAATAGATTTTATTTTTGGAATGTAATTCATGAATGGAAATTAATCTTTATTTAAAACCATGTCTTAGGATTTCATTTCTGGGAGAAGAATTGTCTCATCAAAAGTAAAGTGTCTGCAAAATTGAGCAATCTGCATTATTAGCTTATAGGCTTGTTTTAATTTTATGCAATTATTCAGTTTAAAATTATATAGGTTATGTTTGTTTCTTTTAACAAAGAAAATGCCATTAATATTTTAATTGTTACTTAAAATACCATCAGTATTTTAATTGTTATTTATTAATCTCAGGCTTACAGTAACTGAGGGACTAAATCTGCAAAACATTGATGATTTATTTAAGATTTTATTTTAAGCAGCTGAAAAGATTGGCTCAGTGAAATTTTTATAACTTGCTTATAACTATATATAATGCAAACTATTGCTTCTTATAAAATCTTCCCTGAAGACAGTTCCTTCATATAGAGAAATAGCCATCAATTGCTTTATTCTAAGAAGTAAGAGAAAGGAATTAACTAGAGATTTTTGAGTAAAATTCCATTTATCTGTAATGCAAATTTGTTATGAAATGTAATTGAAATTATTTATGTGAATTTGTTATGAAATGTAAATGCTGAGATGCATGCATGTTACATATAGCAGACTGCCTTTATAGGAAAGGTATTTATGCTTCTAAATTATAATTGGCCAAAAAAAAGTAAGAATTGAGGTCAATCATTAATATTTTGTTCTGTTACATATTTTCACGCTATTAAGCTAGAAGGTGCTGCCTATGCACCAGAGTCAGGTAAGATGCTAGATGTGCCAGAATGTATCCTCAGAATTATTATTATTTTTTATTTATTATTTTATTTATTGAAATTATATTATTATTTACTGTTTATTTGTTGAAATTATTGTTTTATTTGTTATTAATAAATTTTATTATGGTATTGGAAGGTCTTTCTTGCACTATTTGTGATACTTAATCATCCTATGCAATATACACTTTATATATTACCACCCATGTGATGAAATTGTTAGAAGAATAGAGTCAAAATTGTGGAAACGTATGGCATTTCTGATATATATATATATATATATTAGTAAGTTCAAAAATGTAAAAGTGCAACATTAATACTTACTGTTAAGCTATACTGGCATAAATTCCACTAATGGCTGGTAAGTAGGTAATTTCTTTATCTTTTATGCTACCTGATTCTGAGACTTTTTTTCCCTTTGCGTAGCCTTGTGTAGTCATGAAATTTAAAGTTGAGAAAAATGATAGACACTGAATAATCATGAGTAAAACAATGAAATTTGATATTATTCAAACTTATATTTAAAAACGTAACACATTTTTAATCAAATTTATAAATAATTTTGTGATTTTTGGGTTAATGAGCAATAAAAAAATTTTAAGTGTAATTTTTTATTTTGAAACTGCACGAATTAATGTGTTTATGTTATAAAAGAACATCCTATATTATCCACTGTAATTGCAAAATATGAATTGCATATAGGTATCATATAATTTAAATACATTTTATGTGTGGAATGTGATTTATAAATTAAAACTGCAATAAAGTTTTGCTTGCCATACATGCTAGTTGCATCATTAATGCAGTGCACATAAAGCAAAATCATGTTCCACAAAGTTAACATTTTTATGAAAAAAAATAGATTAGGTATTATTCAGATTAAAGAGGTATGTATAATTTGTACAAGCCTAAATATTATTATAATTAAAAGATGGAAATAAAACAAATATTAAATAAAGGATTTCTATTACTGCTTAATAAGTAGGCACATGATATAATTATAATTTTAAATTGTTCATGATTTTTGTTTGGGACAATGTCTAACACAACTCATTAAATATTTCATGGTAAGAAGTACAAAGTTTATCAATACCTCTCGTAAAGTGCCATTATTCTTTCTTCATTTGAGTCAATCTCCATTACAAAATCAGACAATTCCTGGGCATCTTTTAACAATTTGTTTAACATTTTTCACATTAAATCTCTTTATCTTCTTCACTATCATGTCATGTTATAAGATCTTCTAATTTTTTATTTTCCATTTCACAATCATCATTCTCGATTAATTCTCTGGTTTCTCTTTCTTCTGTATCTGAAAATGCAATAGATGGCAAAGGATTTTCATTTCATATCTGTTAAGGAATTCATATATGATACAAGGGATTTCAAATAGGATATCCTTGCTTCTCTTTATATACAATATCCTCGGCTTTATTTTCATTGATGGAAATCAAGTTGTTGCCAATTTCTAGCCAATTGGCATTCATTGTTAATCAGTTCTTTTTTTCCCAAATAAGTTAATAATTTCTATGCTGTGTCTTATGTTGTATTGCTTCCAAAATGCCACTAGTGTTTCATGCTTTTCTTCATCTAAAGCTTTTTTTTGCAGAGATATACCTGACATCACAGACTTGGAATGTTTTTATGATTCCTTGATCCATTGGTTGGATTAAGGAAGTAGTGTTTGGTGGAAGGAATTAAACTTCTACATTTGGATGAAATGTTGTGAGGGCTTCAGTGCTGTGTCCTATTATACAGAGCATTATTGAGAATTTGGAGAACTTTATAGCTCAAGTTTTGCTTTCCTATGGCTTCAAACCACTCTTTAAAGAGGACTGTTGCAACATTGCTGATGTTCTGCATCATACTGTATATAATTAAAATTCTCACATAGGGAAAATTAAATGGAGATAATTAAGATGACGTGTATAAGCAAAATCACATTCCACAAGTCTGCATTTGGCAAGAGTTTACTGTATACTTTATTGAAAACTATGTTTGAATCTTTATTTCTTGGACAAAAATTGTGTTATCAGAGTAAAACATGAGCAGAATTGAGCGATCTACTTAATTATCCCATGGGTATGTTTTAATTTTATGAAATTTTATTCAGTATAAAATAATGAGGTTTCAGCATATCCATTTGATATCTTGTTGTTTTTTAATTGTTTTATAAATACTAATGCCTTAATTTGTTGACAAATGCATATGCTTCTTGTGTTATACTGTTTACAATGTTTATTTCTCCTCCCCTCTTTTTTTCTAATTGCTGAATTTCATAGTTTGTAACTTTTTTATTTAATATACTGATCCTGTTAATTTTTTATATTAATATTTTGATAATGTAATATTAAGCATATCTTTCCCCCCCCCTTATCTAGGTTCAGCATAGATGGTTTGAAATGGTAGTCAAATACAAATATAGACCTGCATATGCTGCACTGAAGGACTTTTTAACCAATCATTTGGTAAAATTTTTATTTCCTGTGCAATTACCAAGATTTATGCAGAAGTGTATATTTGTATATAAGTAATTAGTATCATTAGCTTGCATTTACCTGCAGATTTGATTGTATAGTTTCTTAAAAAATGATTTTTGAAATAAATTATTATTATTAGTGTTGTTATTATTTTAATGCTTCAGTGTATATTTCATTTAAAAATTCCTCAGGGAAATACTTTGGCACATATGAAAGTACTTTGAAATAGAAATACAGTAATGTAAAATTTTAAGTTAGACAACAATGCAACATTAGACTAGTAGATTTTAATGTAAAATTTGAAGTTAGACAACAATGCAACATTAGACTGGTAGATTTTAAATAAAACTATATTGATTTTGAGGGCAATCAGAGGCGCTTCTCTTCAGGTGCAAAAAATGCTTTTTGAAGGTGAGAGAAAATTTTGTTGAGGGTTTTCTTTTTTTTTTTTTTTTTTTTTTTTTTCTCTCCCCCTCTTGGAAGAAGATTTTGTTTATGACTGATCGTCCTCAGTTATAGAGTTTTATTCAAAATCTGCATTAGTATAAGGTTGCAATTTTACCTAATTCTAAATGTTGATACATACAAAGAGATCATTGAACTATTTTTCTTTTACTTAATATGAAATCCATTAATTGGATTTATGTTTTGTACTTGATTTAAATAATACAAATAATTATTTTACTTAATTCTTGTGAAGTAAAAAAGTACAGTTTTCCTTACATCATTCACTTTGTGGGCTTTTATTGATGACTGAAAAAGTATTTAAATGATTTTAAAGTCATTGCATTTACAGCATAGGAAAATCACTTTCGGCATCAATGCAAAATTTTCATTGCATTAATGACCTTATAACTGAAAAGTAGTTTAATATTAATATAATTATTTAAAGTTTTACTTCCATTGTGAGTCTCTTTTTCCAAAGTTGCATGAAAAGAATTAGTGTTAAGATTTTTTGCCTACCAGTTACCATTTTCATCTGATAGAGAGAGTCACATGGACCTAAATCTGGAGATTACGGTAATTGAATCATCTTCAAATCAGTTGCATATTGATAGGGTCTTGCTTTGTTGTTAGGCAAGTATGCAGTGCATTTAACAACTATTTTACAAATGATCCATGAATTTCTAAACTATATATAGGATTCATGATTTGCAGTTTTTTTTTTTTTTTCCTTTGAATGTTCTAATAAAATACTTTGTAGTCAAATTTTGGCATCAGCTTGAGCTTATATTTCAATCTTTCTGCCCATGAAACTTAATTTCTAGACTTGTCTAAGTAATTATTTTGGTTGGTCCTTCTCTACTGATCAGATTAAATTAGCCATGTTTCATCAAAAGGTGACTGTAAATTTGGGGTGGGTTTTTTTGTTGCTGATGGATATGTAGATAAGTTCTGTACTAATCTGTACATTTAACCATTAGTCTTAGATTCATTGAACAAATCTAATTTATATCCTCTTCAACTTTTTTGACTAATTTCAATTATTATTTTTGTCACAAAACAGCACATGGATTTAAAGATTTTGGCATTAATTGACAAAGAAATCACGAAAGAGAATTTTGAGTGATTTAAAGTTTTGACAATATTAACTTATTTTCCCATCGATCAACAATTCTAGCAAAATTTTAAGGAACAGATGGCTATTTATTTGTTTAGATAATCATAGATTACTCTTTATTTATTAGATAATCAACAGATACAGGCTACGAATATGGATATAAAACAAATAAATATGAGCTCAACTTTTAATATTATCTGATGACTAAATTCATTAAAAATGTTACCAGTCATTACAAGGTTTCAGAACCCTGAACTCAATGTAAAATAGCAATAAAATTTTCACCTTTATGAACTTGGCATCACATAAATTCACTGAAATAAAAATCAAAGTTATGCCAAAAGAGAAACACTTTTTATGTAGAAATTTAAAATATACTTCAAGTATTAAAAGAAAAAATATTATTTGTTAAATAATTGCCAGAAAAACAGTTTGAGTTTTTACTGTTTTTGTAAGAATGGGAATATGATTTTTCTGTGGAGATCACGTAGTAATGGTTGAAATTTAGCTCTGCAAAAGAAGTCCAGAAACAGAGAAATTTTATTATTATATATTGTGAATTGAATAAAGAAAAATCTTTTTTAAAAAAGATGGTAAAGAGTTTGTTAAACCAAAGGGGCTTTGACCCTGAGAGACTATTCTTTTTGTTTTGCTTCAAATCACTCTGAATGTCTGTTTCACTTTTCAAACTGTTGCCACCAAATATTATCGCCCTGTATTATATTTGAAGAAATTAAATAATTAAAAATATGCATAAATGTATGTATTTTGTTCCCATTGTGATAAAACAACGGTAGCCATCAAATTTTGAACGACGTAATCCTACTGCAAATATAGGCATCTGGAAGCCCAAATTTTAAATTTGTTTTATTATCGATTTCATATTTTGTAAAACTTTAATGAATTTTTGATTAACAAACTCAAGGATTTCAAAGCGAGCAATGGCAACATTGTACAGAAAAAACATTTTTATCTCTATTGCCTGAAACTGTGTATCCAAAATTTCTAAAGATAGGCTAAATTTAAAATTATTTTGCGATATTGCTCTTGAACTGAATTTTATGGTTTAAGTGCAAAGAACATGATATTTAATAAATAAAAGGCAACACACAAAATGTTTAAAAAAAAACGTCTCTTTGGACGTAATTTAAAATCTGAAACCTTTCAGATTTTCTTTTTTAATTCTTTTTTTTTTTTTTTTTTAAATAATCTGAAAATTTCAAAATTTTTATACCTTTGGATGTTGAAATTTTGAATTAGTAGGTGTGCAAATCAATTATTTTTTTTTTTAAATCGCCAAAAATTGTTAAATTATGTTAGGGATTCAGACTAAGAGTAATAAATCTCATATAAAACTTCAGAATAAATGAATTTAATATAATTTTACTTTTTCTTGTATTAAGAAGAAACAACAGAGAAACAAACTTTGAGAATATTAGTTTGTTCAACAAAGATATATGCAAAAAGTGCACAAAAATTATTCAGCATTAAATTAAATCTAAATTGAATTTTGAAAACATTGCTTTGAAGAGTGCACTGACCTCATTTAAACATCCTGTCTTTCATGTTTTATAGCATTGAGTTCATCAGTATATGCAATTTACAATACATATACTTGCACGAACAAACAGAGTCTCTCTTTTATTATTACAAATATATAGGTCTTTCAGTTTCTAATTTACCTTTCTTTCACAGGCATTAGGAGTGTATTTATATGGTGAATTGATCTTCTCAGGCGATAAAGTGCAGAAAGCTATTGCAGAAGAATGTTATACATCTCTGAGAGCTGAAATGGAACCAAATTACATATGTACAATTGATCAAATGTTCTTGGATTCTGCATCATAAAATGCTTTATGTAAAAACTGTATAGACACATATTTATATTATGTAAAATAAATGTTAATAAATCTGCATCTGTAAAAAGTATAAATGTTATTTATTTTGTTGTTCAGAATGTGTTTCTTCAGGAGCTTTTATTGCTCAAACATGTATTTGAAGTTTTTTGTAGTTTGTCACATCTGCTTGCCATATGACTATTTATGACTGACAAAGTAGTCTTTTGGGTGGCTTGGATGTCTTCTGATAGATCTTCTGGAGACGCACTCCAAGATAGAAAAAACTATGATCTGTGCTCTTCAAAAGAGGGACAAAAAAATCTGGCATATACACTCACTTCCAAAAGTTAAGCACAAAGATGTAAAATGCAAAAAAAAAAAATTAACAAATACTGCTTTGATTAACACAAAATTCTGCAGGAAAGTAGCATATATATTTATGCATAAAGCAAAATCAATAATTATATACAGAAAAGAAAACAGTATTAAATTTTTGTAAGTTATCAGATAATGACATACTGGAGACTTAAATAGAATTATGTATAAAGTAAAAATAAACAGCATAAAATGAAAAAAAGGACATTAATGGGATATGTGATACCCCCTCATCTGTATACAAAGTTTACACTTTGTGACCATGCTTTCAATTAGTTGGTCAACCACTGCAGAATTAAGCAATCGCCATTCTTCTTGTAGAGCAGTTTCCAGCTCAATAAGAGTGGCTGGAGGTGGAAAATGTGAAGATACAGCACGGCCGAGAGCATCCCAAAGATTTTCAATAGGATTAAGGTTGGGCGAATATGCTGGCCACGCCATACGTGCAATCCCTTCACTCTCTAGGTAGTCATCGACGATGTCAGCTCTATAGGGACGTGCATTATCGTCCATTAAAACAAAAGTAGGACCAGCTGCTGCAACGTACAATCTCACAATGGGTTCTAGGACTTCATCTCGATACAGAACAGCTGTCAAAGAACCCCGTTTAAAGATGTGCAGGTCGGTGCGGTATCCTAATGAAATCCCTGCCCACACCATAATGCTTCCGCCTCGGAATGCGTGATGGTCGGTTATGTTTTAGGACTGATTGTATGTTCATTGTTCATGCCATATCCTTATATGCTTGTCATCTGGCTCCAGAGCAAATCTTTACTCATCAATAAACATGACATTGCTCCAGTCAGACACACACATTCCAATTGACATGTTCCCGGCACCACTGTAATCGTGCCCCTCTTGATTGGACGAATAGAGAAACACAAACTCGAGGTACCCTGGCGTACAGTCCACCCATATGTAATCTTCGGCATACAGTAGCTGCAGATATTGCCATACCAACGGACACTGTAACCATAGATGTCACACTGCAGGTCGCTCTGCAATTCCACTTGGCTATAATAGCAATATATCGATCTTCCGTGGGGGTCGTAACCCTTGGGTGGCCGGCTACGGGCCTTCGGACAACTGTCTGTGTGGTTTGGAATTGTTTCCATAAACGTGAAATTACAGAATGATGAACGCTGAAGAAAAGAGCAACATATGTGATCAACTGTCCTGCTTCAATGCACCCCACAGCATGCCAGCTCTCAGAATCATCCATTTGTCTTCTGGAAGTCATAGAAACACGTATGTCTTGAAAACAAATTATACGAAAGTTTTAAACACCTATCAGCACTTACAATCAACTTCTGTAACCCTTTATAAAGCTGGCTTCTTATAAGACTGCCTTTTTTGCATATTTCTTAACATGAAGGCACGATTGGCTGTTGCCTAACATGTTTGCATACTTCCATCTACCTCTGCAGCGAATTGCATCCTCTTCAATTCTGATTGGCTTCTAAAAATTAGCATTTTCCTCTTCATGCTTAACTTTTGGAAGTGAGTATATTTTGGCTTCCTTAAGTAATCATATGCCATCATAGAACAATGGGGATAAAAGATTTAGTTTAAAAGGTATATTTTATAAACTATCCTTAATTAAGTGGGTTCACTTAATTAAACAAACAAGTTTTTTAACTAAATACTTTTGAATAAACAGGTTTGTTTAATGAACAAGTTTTGAAGGAAAATTGATTCTTCACTTGAGGAGCCTTTTGGCTATCTGGTTTTACAGTATAGATGCAGTGTTTTATAATGATAAATTTTCTTTGGTGATAACTTCAAATTTTAAATTTTGTGATCAATGTAATACCAATATGATATTAGTCAGGTATTATAGGCATTAAAACTACTATACCAGCGAGGACAAAAGTTAACATAGGTTAGGTTATTTGAATATGGCAAAGTACTAGAGGGCTATCTGCCTGTAAGGAGGAATACTTCATGGTGTACTTTCTGACAAAAACTGGTATTTATGCACATTGCACATGGGAAACACTACAAACACCAACCATGCAGCCTTCCTGTTTGCCTGGAATTGAACCCAGGTTGAACTACCAGTATTCAGCGATCTTAACCATTTGACCATTGATAATGAAATCATTAAAATTTCAGATATGTTGGACAAAGAGAATTGGTTATGATCAGTACTGTAAGTGGTCAGCATAAACAGCAGTAAATGCTGCTATACCATAAGGCAAGAAGTTGAAGAAACTTTGGATAGCATTTTTGCGATCAGTCAGCTGTGATGTGTTGCCAGAGTTCTTCTGTTGTATCTGCCATTGGGCTTTGTCATGCTAATATATGCAACAGCATTGATCAGATGTGTTCATTCAGAGAAACATGTGGTAAACATGCTGCTAAAGTAGAATAATAACTTGCTATGTGTCAAGCAAGTATTAGATGTTGGCTGTGTTGTTCGTAAATGGCTGTTAAGATGCTTCTGAAAATATGGGAAAACCACATGTGTGTAATGTAATTCTGCATTCTAACAGCATTTCATTTTTAAAAAGTAAATTTATATTAAGCAATTTTTACTCTTAAATGCGAGACACTTTTTTTCCTCCCTTTATCACACTGCGAGATTGACTGTATACCTGATTTTTTTTTACTATGTTGATTCATGCCCATTGCTATGGGCAGTAAAATGGCACATACTGCATGGACATAAAATTCGCTCTGAAAAAAGGAAACCGCTATTTTAAAAATTTTGTTATGCATTAAACGTAGTTTTTTTCAATTTAAAGCATTATGTTTCATTAAGAAATTTAAGTACAGTATATTCCTGTTTAAAGTACTGGGTGGTTATGAAATAACGAGGTATTTAGAGCCCTCTAGGGAGTAAAGTATTGGATAAGACATAATCATATTTTTTTATTTATTTACTTATTATTACTCCGCCTGCTTCAGCCCTCAATCAGTCATGTTATTCTGATCTGCTACAGCAACCTAGGGTTGTTTTTCCCTTTTATAAAAAGTTTATTAGGGGCAATACAAAACTTTCAAACCATTTCTATTTCTTAATGTACAGTCGGTCACAAAAGTATTCGAACACCGGTACCCTATCAGAAAATGACAAGATGGCGTTTTTTTTTCTCTTTCTCTCTGTGTGTCGTGTTATTCCATCCTAGGTTTTCTTCTCCCCCCATCTTGGAAAAAATTGGTTACGATCTCTTTTTGAATGGGGAGATGCCATTTTGAGAAAAAGCTGACGACCCTATCTTGGAGAATGAACATGACCGCTCTATACACACCCTTTCTCTCTCTCTCTCTTTGAATTGGGAAGCCATTTTGGGAAAAAGCAGACGACCCTATCTTGGAGAATGGAAATGAACGCCTCTCCCTCTCTCTTTGAAATGGGAAGCCATTTTGGGACCCTCTATTCTTGGGGAGGGAGAAAACTGAAGTCTGCATTTCGCTGTCTCTGAATGCGGAAAGCCCTTTTGGGAAAAGCGGACCCTCTTCTTCTGATCTTGGAGAACTGGAAATGAACGCTCTACACGATCTCTCTTTGAATTCAGAAGGTATTTTGGGACCTTCTAATGTTGGAAAACTGAAATGAACGCTCTACACCTTCTCTCTCTCTCTCTCTCTTTCTCTGAAATGGGTAGCCATTTGAAAACTCCCTAACTTTGGAAAAAAACAGAAATGAACGCTCTACACCATCTCTCTTTGAAAATGGGGGGTGTCATTTTGAGACCTCCCTCCCCTAAACTTGGAAAAAAAACTGAAATGAACGCTCTACACTTTCTCTCTTTGGACATGGGTAGCCCTTTGGGGACCCTCTCCTCTTGGTAGGAAAAAAAAAAGAACTGAAGTGAAGGCTCTACACAATCTCTCTTGGAATGGGATCCATATTTCGGGAAACGTGGATCACCTCATGCTGGAAAACTGAAGTGAACCACCAAGATTGGACTCTATATAATATTTTTTTTTAATTGACATCATGACCCTCCTCCCATTTGTTATTAAAAAAATTTTTTTTTTTGTTTTGGTTTTTATCCCATTTCCGATGTGATTTCAGAAATGCAATTCCATAACAGTTCAATTTCATTCGAGGTTAAATGATCTAAACAGTCTTTGACCCACCCATCCGTATGATTATTTTCTTCTCCTTCCTGTTGCACCAAATTTTGTAAGTCCATATAATCATTCCATACGGGAAGGGCTGGATCCTCACAAGGCTGTCTTGAAACACTTGGAGTCTCTTTGGGATGAGTGGAGGGATCTAGGGATGTCTGGACCCGGCTGCGATTCTACCTCCATGATTTCTGGACCCGTTGGAACTTGTTTACCCGGCTGTGATTCTGCCTCCATGATTTCTGGACCTGTTGGAACTTGTGGACCCGGCTGACATTCTACCTCTACGATGTCGGGACTTTTTGAAGCTTGTGGACCCGTCTGACATTCTACCTCTACGATGTCGGGACAGGTTGGAGGAGAAGAAGAAGAAGAAGAAGAGGATACTGGAAGAGGTTCTGTCTGTGAGGAGTCCGAAAGAGGTTGCCTGTTTGAACAAGTCGGGGAAGAAGAAGAAGAAGCTTCTGGATTCTGAAGCGGATCTTGCACGCCAGGTAGGTTCCGGTAAGTCGACCGTTTTTTAAGAGGTAATTTTTTTTCTTCCTCCTCATCTTCAATCGTGATGACTTCAATTTCATTCCGTTGCCGGGTCGATTTTGTTTCGGGCCATGACGGTTTGGTCCAGCTCCTCTTATC